ACATATATTCTGCAGTTTGTCTTGTCCTGCATGCTAAAGCTAGTTGCTCCCTGCCCTGCTCATCATTGGTTTTGTTAACTTAAATGTTATTCAACATCCTGCTTATCTCTAAAGATTTTCTCTGTTATTTCTTCTCCCCCCCCCTTATTTTATTGATACCCACCCGAATGTCTTGCTTGACCAATCCTCACCTCCTCTGTGCATCTCCATTCCATAGCTTTTATTGCAGTCCTGTTTTGACCCTATCATCTATGTCTTCCACAGTCTGAGTTTTAAAAGACCACTTCTAGCAAATCTGAACAGTGCTCAGTAACCATTATACACTTATTTACTATTATATTAAATACATATAATCAGTATTATGTTAATAATATACACAATTTTTTGATAAATATTCATAAGACATACCATATTATTTAATAAATATTAATGGAATAGAAAATGTCTCACAGCATCTCAGAAAGCCAGACACCAATGACCAGATAATACTCAGTAATTAATTTTACTTTCTAAATTTTACAAGGTCCCATTGTAAGTAAGGGGTGAAATTGAGTTTAGAACTGTCAATTTTAGAAATTACAACAGGAATTGTCGACGTGCTGTCTGGAGAAAATCCAAAGAAACGCTTTGAACTGACAGCAAATTTAAGTTATGGCAGTCATTTTAGATAAGCCAAATGACGTCAAAATCGTCATCAGGAAAAGTTAACTCTTTCCTGGATAGGAAAGTTTAGTGAGGCGAGAGTGCCCTCTATGGACCAAAAATCTAAATTGCGATCTGCAGGTTGACCACACCTTCAGTATCCAATTGGTTTTACCAACTGATGACATAGAAAGAATCTTTCCCTTTAAAAAGTTAGGACAAAGGGAAGAGAGAGGTTAGTTTGGGCTTTCAGATTGAAATTCATACTCGGGACGAGACACACGGAAGGACTCCTGAGACAGACAGACCCTCATACAAACAGACTGAGGAGAGAGACACAGAACATTTAATTTCACTATCTCTTTGCATACACATAACCACACTTCAATTCCTGGGATTACCTAAGAGCATCTGATGAGAGCATCTACATCATAACTGGTAATTATGCTGGTTTTATTTAATTAATCTAAATTAATTCAAATCTATTAATAGCAGGATACATGCATGGATAAATCACAATCAGATCCCATAATTGAAGAATCTTAATTAAATAAAGAATATGTAGTTATAACACTCCATTCTGCAGGTGGAGTCAGATAATTACATAGTACTGGTATCTTACCACATGTTAGCATACCGCTGTTTTTATCCATGTGTGTTGATTTGCTCTGAAATAAGATAAGATATCTTTTAGGAAAATTAAAATTCGGCTTATAGAATCTGTAGATTTGACTCTTTTGGATGGTACAGGAATTGATTAATGATCTGGTTGAATGTTATTTTAATTAAAAATAGCAATAGAATAGGATATTCTATGCCTAAGAGGACTAACCAGCATTGAAAGGGTTACTCAGTTGATCTAACTGTTAGCCAAGGTTTTATGGCTTTTCGCTGGAAGTTTAGCTTTCTGTGTCTGTGAAATACCTCATTAATCTTACTAAGTGACAGTTGATGCTGTTAGCCGTTGGATTGTTTTAATATTGCCATTGTATTGCTTACTTATGTTATACTAAACATTCACTGATTATCATGCATGCTCCCTAATAGTTTTATTATTTTATTTGACACAATAAATTCTATCTATTTTATAACAAATTGTGATTTTATTTGTATGGAATACATTTCACTTACATGATGACGATCTCTAAGATCTAAGAGAATTGAAATAGTGGGCAATTCTCAACTGTATAATATTATCACCCCATAAATATCCCCTCAAAATACTCAGAAACGGACGCACTGCTATCTTGGAAACCCGGAAGTACAGAATACAGAGACATGCTACTGAATATGCAGAAACTGGAAGTACCACCATCAGTGCTGGCGAGTTGCTTCCGGTTATGGCCAAATTTGGGCATAAAATTACCTTGTTAGCTGCTACACCCGTGGTCCGATACCTATAAGGGGTATATATATAGGTGTGCACCTAAGACAAATGGCACCTGAGCAAGACCATAGAAGGTCGAAACGCGTTGTGCCAGCTGTTATTATACATTTTTATTTTTTTGTTTTATGTATCTAAATAAATTCCTGTTTGAATTAATTTAATCTAGCTCCTGAGTTCCTGAAAAAGACTGCAAACCAGAGAACCTCTAGAACAAGTGACCAGATCCAGTGTATCCCATTAGTGGATGAAATGCCTTTATAGTCCAGAGCCTAACTTATTTGGCTCTGGAAATTTTGAGTGTACCTTTCTCTTCTTACAATATTATATATTTTCACAACAGTACACACTATGTTGTATTTTATATCTATTGCACACAGGGTCCACAGTTAAAAACCATTACGGCAAATAGGACCTATATATTAACATCTAACAAAAGGTAAAATATATTACTGAGTTTTTTTGCGCTATCACCTTTTTTCTTCTATTTTGGTTTCTATACATAGTGTACAGAGTGGCTATACACTGAGGTGATTATAAGCTGCACCGGTTTTATTTTTTAAGTTTAGCACCCTTCTTCCCTTCTACTGTTGTTTGCTTTTTGTACCTCTTTATTCTGCCCCTCTATATTCTGTTCCTCTTTATTCTGTCCCAGCAGGGAGAAGGAACGAAATTCCGCGATCGTGCGCACCAAATCCTGCGAATCCCGTGATGTCCAAGAGATCACGAGAACGCAGACTGGAAGTCACTGTACATCCGTCTTCATTCTCACAATCTCTTGGCCCCCAGTGATACCCCGGACCACGGAGATCAAAGATCCAGAGATCCTGAGCGGTGATTGGGGATTCACTGGGGGCCACAACAGATAGATTTACCAAATTAACTGTGGGGCCCTGCCTAGTACAAGGATGTGTGTAATGATGCGTCCATGCTGAGCTGATTGTTTACCAGTTCCTGTATCTGGTAAGATCATGGCTCCCGTTGAACACTATACTGTCTTCCCCAAATTAATAGTTGGTGGGTCATACTAGGAGGTGTGTCTGACATTCCTACATTCTTCTCACTCATCTAATATTGTGTGCCACTGTGAACCTGTCGACTCAGTAAGTTTAGGATTTGCACTTGTGCTATTTTTTTTTTAAATTTATACCAAGCATTCATAGTGTCACACATTCTCTCCTGCTCTGCTCTTCCTAGTTTCCTATATTGTAGGACTGCTCCTGAATTTATAGTTGCTCCAGTTGTTGCTATCTAGACATGGGCCTGTACAACTCAAGAAGAAAGCAGTCACACTCAGCATCTATCAGTCTTACCCACTCACCCCCTTCATACTGCCACACTCACCCTACCACATACACCCTTACAATCATGTCCTCCAGCTGTGCCACACTCAGCCCAAACCATGTCACACACAGGTAGACAATGCCAGATACACTCAGAAATACACACACCGACACTTATGTATACACGAATGCAAAGCTATGTAACCATACCCCGCAGTCATGTATAAACGATTAGCATAATTGCTAATTAAATTTGTTTATTGCAAATTAATTTAGTTTGTAAATTATGCCATAACTACAGTCAGAGAGCTCACAATGCAGCGGCACAGAGAGCCGCAACACTGCAAGCCTCTGAATAATGAGTTCAGAGACTAGCTCTCTGTATCCAGCGCTGCAAGCTTCAATACAACTACAGCACCTTATACATCAATTTTTTATTTTATTTTTTACTTTGGGTGTTAGTGGGGCCTCATGTTTGAGTTTCGCCTGAGGCCTCACAAAGTCTAGAGCAGCCTCTGCATAAACACACTAACAGATACACACACATACACCCTATATTCACCCCAGTGGACCAAACAGTGACCGATAAATGCTTATAGATTTTTATATACCCCTTTAAGAGGAAGGTCAGAACACAATTATTCGAATGCCTGCATACCCACAAATGAAAGCAAATCTTTAAACACACACTGGGATTTATTTGCTAAAAATACTCTGTGACTCATATAGCCACGGCTTGACTTTTTTTGCCTAGATTTTGCCATTTTGTTTTCAATTTGCTACAATTTGGAGTTCAGTGAATAACCTCGTCAGTGTTTTTCACTAAAGAGGAAATAAGAGCGCAGGTAACTTTTTTTCTTTGGTTTTTACTATATGTATTTTGCCTAATATGTACTATGGTCGTTGCTGCCGCCCAGGAGTAATGGGAGTTTGAGCGCAGGACTTTCTTTGTATTTGTATTCACTTTTGTATCACACAGCTAGGTTGTAATGCTGCTGCCCATCCCATGTGTTCCCTATTAAGGGTTAATAAGCATGTAGGGATGTATATAAAAAATACCCCTTTCTGTCGAATGGTTAGAGTTAGGACCCTGACGTGGCAGGTGGGCATACCCTCTCATGGCCATTGGAGGTAACTAAAAAGCTCCATTTGTTTAAAAATACATAGGGATGTGGAAAGAGCGCAGGTAATTTTTTTCTTTGGTTTTTACTAAAGAGGAAATTGTTTCCAGTTCAAAGTGAATTTCAAATTTTCCTTTGAAAGTCACTTGAAATTCCCCTTAAAGCAACAATTTACACTTTAGTGAATAAACATGAGAGCCAGTCCAATTTATTACTGGTTCCTTAATTAATTCAATACCCTTACATTTCCTATGCAGTGAGAGTTTAAATGCATCACTCGCAGAATGCTCTGTGAAACGGAAGTCCCCTGCTAAAGTTCCTGTCTTACAATCACATGTTCCTCAGGCATACGCATACTAGGCATTTCAGTAGCCGTTAATCTTACTGGTTAAGGAGTGCCAAAGTGCAAAGGGACAAGCACTCAGGAAGTTTAAGAGTTAAAGCAAACAGTACCAAAATTTCACCTCATGTAAAAAGCAAACAAAAATGTGCCTTGCCCCTCCCTGTACATGTAATTGGCTACAGATGAGGAAGTCTAAGCTATTATTACTGTATAGTATACACAGAACCCTCAGCTTGCTGCATTAGGCACACACTAGGTGTCCAAGTGTCGAACAGCTCCTAAGAATCATCTTGCATTAATTTTTACAGTCTCGTGCAGAAACTCCCTGTGACCACATTCACTGACAGCAGGTAACCATACAAACAGGCTTTTGCAGATTTTAGCTGACATTCATGGGAGATTGGGGATAATTCATTAAATGACATTAGGTTTGGGTGAAAAATGTGCAGTCCTCTGAATTTATGTCTCTTTGTCTCATTGTATTATTTTCCCAGAACATTGCATGATTTGTGCTGAAGATCTATTGCTGAAATCATGTGGATGTGGATGCGCAGGAGAATGTCGTGTTTTGTTTTATTGCCAACAATTGCTATAATGAGAACATGGATTGACCCAATTGTCGCCGGTGCCCAAGTTGCCAGCTCTTTCTATGACACTGGACTGCTTCTGGCGGTAAAGAATCACTACAACCATACTATAGATGCTTCTAACAGCTCTAGCGAGGACACATTACAAAAAGCCATCTCCAATTTCTACATCATCCACAACCTAATTCTAGGGTTAGCCCCTTTGCTCTCGGCTTATATCCTGGCAAGACTTAGTGACAAGGGGAACCGAAAGATCACCATCTGTGTACCTCTAGCTGGGTACCTCATTTCTAGGTTATTCCTATTGTTTGTCATTCTCTGGGACTGGCCAATAGAAATCATGTATGGATCTGCAGCGCTGAATGGTTTAACAGGCTGGTTTACAGCTTATTGGTCTGGTGTGATGGCCTGGGCTTCACGAGGTTCATCTGAGAGCAAAAGATCTCTGAGACTTATCATCATTGAACTGGTGTATGGACTGGCAGGGTTCATAGGCAGTTTGGCATCCGGTCACATATTTGTGCATTTTCAAATTACCAGGCACAATGGTGTTGTCCTTGTTTCCTGCAGCCTTGCACTTTATTTATTTTGCCTCCTGTACAGTATTTTTGTATTAAAGCCGCCACATGTCGAGGGTATACAGAACGTTAATCCTATACCAAGTGACAGGGAAAGTAAAAACAAAGTTGCAGCACCAACAGAAAATTCCAGGCTACTTGGCACCTATTCTGATGGACAAGCTGCTTCCATCCTGGCCATCAACACCACGCTCCCACCAAAAGTCTTGATAGCCCTACTTTTCACTGGAGCCATCTTCTACAATGTTGCTGTCAGTGGAGCTGTAGACGTGCTTCCATTTTATGTGATAAAAGAGCCGCTAAGCTGGGGCCCAGTGTTCATTGGCTATGGCAGTGCTGCTGGTTACCTGATATTCATCACCAGCTTCTTAGCTGTGTATATTTTGTCCGGGCGTGTGAAGGATCTCGTCCTAACGTGTATTGGCATTGTGTCCTTCTGTGCGGGTATATTAATCATGGCCTTTGTGCAAAAAACATACTTATATTACATAGGTAAGTAAAAATCGAAATGCTTAACTGGCCAAACCATTTGAAACCAGATGTTAAATCCGGTCAATAAGCCTAATTAATTGTTGTTGTTTAAAAAAAAAAAACCCTCCTAGTTTTTTTTCTATTTTCTGTAACTGTTGGAACTACCAAAAGACAAGATATGCATACAGGATTATTTACTAAAATGAGAATCCAAGGTTAATTCAGAGTTGCTAAACTGAAAAAATAGCTGACTTAGACAACCTTTCCAGTTTGGCTATTTTTCCCTTAAAGGTACACTATAGTCAACAAAACAATTTTAGCTTAATGAATCAGTTTTGGTGTATAAAACATGCCTCTGCAGTCTTAATGCTCAATTATCTGCCATTTAGGAGTTAAATCACTTTGTTTATTAACCCTAGTCACACCTCCCTGCATGTAACTTGCACAGCCTTCCTAAACACTTCCTGTAAAGAGTCATCTAATGTTTATCCTTCCTTTATTGCAAGGTCTATTTAATTTAGATTTTCTTTTTAATCCCCCACTGTATTAATAGCTTGCTAGACCCTGCAAGAGTCTCCTGTATGGGATTAAGGTTCAATTTACAGAGCAAGAGATAAAATTGTTTAAGGTAAATTACATTTGTTTGAAAGTGAAACCAGTTTTTTTTTGTTTTTTTTTCATGCAGGCTGTGTCAATCAGAGCCAGGGGAGGTGTGGCAAGGGCTGAAAATAAGAAACAAAGTGATTTAACCTCTTAAGGACCAAACTTCTGGAATAAAAGGGAATCATGACATGTCACACATGTCATGTGTCCTTAAGGGGTTAACTCCTAAATGGCAGTGAATTGAGCAGTGAAACCTGAGACGCATGATCTATACACTAAAACGGCTTCATTAAGCTAAAGTTGTTTAGGTGACTATAGTGTTCCTTTAAATGTGAAATTCACTTTGAATTATCACTGTTGTGAATAACCCTGATAGAATCCTAATCTCTCAGACTCTAAAATTCTCCCATAGTTGTGCAAAGGGTGAATGAAGAATTTTTTTAGTTGCATTACAAGCTTTGATTTTCAAGTAACTAAAAAGCAAGATCTATATGAAATCAAAGCCCCACCTCTTCTTGTTTAAAACCAACATGGACTTTGACAACAGACACATGCCCTTATTGATGCATGCACTGACATACACTCAGTGACAGATACAGTCATTGGCACACACAATGTTTAACCAACACACACTTTCACACCCACTCACTGACAGATACACCCCCCCCCCATGCACATACACTGTCATACACTCACTGACAGACACACACACACACACACACACTGATTTGATGCACACATCCTCTCTGATTTAACACACTCTGACAGATACACCCAATCACTCAGACACACAGAAATAGACACACACAGTCACTCACTTACAGGCACACACATTCACTGACAGACGCACACACACATTCACTGACACAAATATTCACTGGCAGAAACATACACACTCACGGACAGACTCACATTCACTGACAGACACACATTGATACTGACACACTCACACACATTTTATTTTAAATTCTACCTTTGACAGAGTTGGAGTGGATTATTCTGCCTTCTGACTGGGCTGCAGGGCAGGCAGGCAGGTGGGTGCACAAAGGTGCTGTAATGTTTTAGTTCTGATCTCTTGTGCACCACACAGTGATACTGGAGCCGGACTGATGTCTTATTCCGTCTCCTGGCATCACAGCAGGGCACACAAGGGAGTAGAGCAAGAAGAGCACAGAGGACAGTGCTCCCTTGCCACCCAGCTACAATAGACATTTGGTGGTTACAGAATGAAAATGCTTCAGAGTAGATGTGCGGGTTATAGAGAAGCAGAGGTGTTAAAGTGTAGCAAATTTAAAGGGACAATGTAGGCACCCAGACCACTTCATCTAAATAATGTTTACATTGCAGCACTAAGTCTGTCCTCGGTGGCTGTCTACCAGACAGCCATTAGAGGGCTACCTGCACCGTAACAGACCTTTGGTCTGTTATCTGATGCTGAACGTCCTCATGCTCCAGCTCCAGGACCGTCAGCGTCAGATTTTTCCCCATAGGAAAGCATTGATGGGGTGACAGGTGTTAGGGGGTGACACACTGGGAATTGGGGGATTATTGGGGTGACTGACAGAGGATTTGGGGTTGTGGAGTGACAGTCAGGGGATCACCATCATTAAACCCCCAATCCCTGTGTGTCACACCATTAATCACCCTATCCTCTGTGTGTCAGGCACATTAACCCCCCATAAGTTTACTTATCTGATAGAACACCGTAGGGGGAACTGTCAGGCTCCCTTCACAATTTTCAGCAATTCCGTTTATGCTTTACCCTGCGTTGCAAGCATAGCCTCCTGCACATAAGTCCCACCCCCATATGCAAGCTTCCCCCTCCCCCACAGGAAGAGGTCAATAAATGGCTCCCACAGTCTTCAGTGCCAGGTAAGCTTCAGCTAATTTGTCAGTGACTTTGTGTCTATGTGCTTGCTAGTGAATGAGCTTGTATTTTTGTGTCAGTGAACTTGTCTGTAGTGAGCATGTGTGTGTCAGTGAGCTATTCTGTCAGTGCACTTATGTGTAGTTACCGTGTGTGCAGTGGTGTATCCTGGTTTTGTGCTGCCCTAGGCAGGACAAAACTCAGGCGCCCCCCTCCCCCCCGGGCCACCCCCACCCAACCCTTCCCCCCGCCCCACCTTCTAAATACACACACACACAGTCAGACACAAACACACACACAGTCAGACACATACACAAACACACACACACACAGTCAGACACATACACAAACACATACACAGACACAGTCAGACACATACACAAACACATACACAGACACAGTCAGACACAAACACACACACACACAGTCAGACACACACACACATACACAGTCAGACACAAACACACACACACACAGTCAGACACAAACACACACACACACACACACAGTCAGACACAAACACACACACACAGTCAGACACATACACAGACACAAACACAGTCAGACACAAACACACATACACACAGTCAGACACATACACAGACACAAACACACACACACTCACAAACACACACATAGTCAGACACAAACACACACACACACACACACACACACACAGTCAGACAAAAACACACACACAGTCAGACACAAACACACACACACACACACACACACACACACAGTCAGACACAAACACACACATTAACTTTTTTTTTAATTTAAACCCCCCCCCTCCTTACCTTTGGGAGTGCTGGGGGGGGGGGTCTTTCTCCCTGGTGGTCCAGTGGCTGCAGGGCAGGCGGCGCTGGCAGGCGGGCAGCCGACGAGGCAGCACTTCCCATGAGCTGACTGCTCAGCTCCCTCGCACGTCGGCTGCAGAGTGAGGCTGGGAGCCGGAAGATGAGGCTGGGAGCCGGAAGATGACGTCATCTTCCGGCTCCCAGCCTCACTTTGCGGTGCGCGAGGGAGCTGAGCAGTCAGCTCATGGGAAGTGCTCCCTCGCCGGCCGCCCGCCTGCCAGCGCCGCCCGCCCGCCCGCTCGGGATGTCAGTTAGCCGCAAGGCTAACAAGGCATCTGCCCTGGGCATTTGGGGGGCGGTGTTTTTTGCCGCCCCCTGAAAAATGCCGCCCAAGGCAAATGCCTTGTTTGCCTCGCGGCTAATACGTCCCTGCGTGTGTGTGTGTATGTTAGTGAGCGTGTGTGTGTGTGTGTCATTAACTTAATTTTTGTGTATGATTTGTCAGTGATTGTGTGTGTGTGTGTGTGTGTGTGTGTGGGTGGTGGGGGGTCTGTGTGTATGTCTGTGATTGTGTTTGTGTAAGTCTCTGATTATGTGTGTGTCTGTGATTATGTTTTTGCAGGTATGTGATTGTGCGTATAGGTCTGAGTGTGTGTGTGTGTGTGTGTATATCTGTGATTTTGTGTGTGAATGTATGTGTTGTGTGTGTCTGTGTGTATAGGTATGTGATTGTATGTGTGTGTGGGTCTGATTGTGTCCGCATGTATGTGATTGTGCTTATAGGTCTGTGATTGTGTGTGTGTGTGGGTCTGTTATTGTGTGTGGATATATCTTTAATTGTGTGTGTATAAGTCTGTGATTGTATGTGTGTGTGGGTCTGTGATTATTTGTGTATGTATGTGATTGTATGTGTGTTTGTGTGGGGGTATGGGGTTTTATTATATAAATTAATTATATTATAGATTTTATGTGTAGCCCAAGACTATTCCTCTGCGCTTAATGTGGCCCAGGGAAGGATGGACACCCATGCTTTAGTAAATAACACTAAGTATTTTCTGTGCACCAGGAATCATAGGCATCGGAATGAATTTGCATAAAATGCCCAACAAATGCCTTATTTAAAAAAAAGTTAAATTAGAAGCTTTAGTTTTTGACTTCAGTATTATTTTCCAGCCCGTGCTGTGATGATGTTCTCTCTCATACCACTACCTACCATCAGATCTGTCCTATCCAAGCAAGTGCAAGGTTCATCTTATGGTGAGTAACATGTCTCTTTGTGATAATAATCTCAGTTAATGCAAATGTTCACATTCTTCATGTAGGTGTGCAGGTGATTTGGCATTACATTTCCTCTCCCTCTCCCTTCCCCTGAAGTGTGTAGTGTGTGTATAGTTGGTGTAGAGCAGGGTTAGGGAACCTTTGGCACTCCAGCTGTTGTGGACTACATCCCCATGAAGCTCGTATAGCTATAATTAAGGCAATGCATCAATGCATTAGGGGAGAAATATGCCTAACCTTGGTGTAGAGCGTGTGTAGTGTGTGTAAGTACAGGAGGTGTAGTGTGTATATTGGATGTACAGAGTGTGTGTGTGTTTAATAAGTGCAGGGAATGTAGTGTGTGTGTATATAGGGGGTATAGTGTGCGTAGTGTGTTTGTGTCTGTAAATGCAGGAGTGTCATGTGCGTATATAGGGGGTATAGAGTGTGTGTAGTGTATTTGTTAAATGTAGGTAAGCAGGCCCGGCGCTACCATAAGGCGCCTTAGGGCGCACCGGCCCAGGGGAAGTGATCGCCAGGTGACCAGAAGGAGGAGAGCGCCATTCGCATCGCTCCCCTCCTGTTGGTGACTGCGTGGAGCGTGGCCCGAGCGGTCATAATGCTACTTACCCAGTCTGACATGAAAAGATAAAAGATACAGGGGACAACCATAAAAAGGTACAAGGGGGAGGGGAACAATAAAAGATACAGGACAGGAGGGGGAAGACAATAAAAGGTACAGGAGGGGAAAGGAAGGAGACAATAGGTAAAGGGGGGAGCAATAAAAGGTACAGGAGAGGATGGGGACAATAAAAGGTACAGGATGGGAGCGGGTACTATGAAAAGTTCAGAAGGGGGGGACAATAAAAGGTACAGAAGGGGGAACAATAATAAAAGGTACAAGTGGAGAGGCAATAAAAGGGACAGGAGGGGAGGGGGGACATTAAAATGGGGGGGATTGAAAAACACAGGAGGGAAAGGGGGACTATTAAAGGTTCAGGAGGGGAGGAGGTGAGATAATAAAAGGTACAGAGGGGCAATAAAATGGAGAGGAGGGGCAATAAAAGGTGCAGAGGGATAATAAAAGAAACAGGAGTGCTGTGGGACACAAATAGATATACTGGAGGTTGAGACAAATACACAGAGGGGCTGGGGGGAAAGATGCACAGAGGGGTTGTGGGGGAGAAAGAAGTACAAAGGGGCTAGGGGGAGAAAGGTGCTGGGGTAAAAAGACGCACAATGTGTTGTGGAGAAAGAGACACAGAAAGCTGCAGGGGGATGAAAGACACACAAAAGGGCTGGGGGAAAGAAAGAGACAGACAAAGGGGCTGGGCGAAGTAAAAAAATACACAAGGGGGGTTGTAAGAGACAGATTAGAGAAAATACAGCAAAGTGGACACACAAAAGGTAAAGGGGGGCAAGACATAAAAAATGGGATATAAAACACTAAAGGGGGCAAGTTAGTCAAAAGGGGTGTTAGAAGACACACAGGTGAAGATACATTTTTTTTTTTGGTGGGGAGGGGGTGGCAAAATGCATCTTCTCCTGTGTAGTCAAAAATCCTTGCACCGGCCCTGTAGGTAAGTGAAGGGTGTGTAGTGTGTGTGTATAGGAAGGTATGTAATGTGTGTCTGTGTGTGTGTAAGTAAGTGCAGATGGTGTAGGGGGTAGGATGGGGGCTTAAACAAATCATTTAAAACAAACACCTTTACACCCCCTCTTATTACTTTGCAGGGGGAGAACTCTGGTGGTCCAGTGAGCTAGTTATGTGGTCTCAGCCAGTGTTTCAGAGTGGGTTGCCACTGCATTCTGACAATATCGGAGCTCACCAGAGCTGGGTTGGGGGGAGTGGGGGTGTTTACCAAAACCAAAATTTTGTTTTATGAAAACTGTGGTTTTTGGTTGTAGTAACTGTAAGTGTCAAGTTATTTCAGTAGTAGTATGAGTCCAAATGCATAGGAGGATAATTGAATATTGCATGGTACCTATAGGGGAGAAAGGAGTGTGAATAATATGAGGCCAGTTAAAGTTGAATTAAAATGAGATATTGGATGTGATAAATTTTGTAATTTAGAGATCTGTTAAAAGAAATATTTGAATCGTGGAAAATTCACCCGCCTATACTTCCCCCTCCAAACACAGCACGTTCAGGCAGAGTAGACACCTGCCATCCATGCCTACTCTGCCTTATCACACAGCCGGCCTTTTCCTGGGCCCCTCCCAGGAGAAGGTTGCTTAGGTGGCCAGCCGGCCTGCTCCTGGAGTACCTCCTGCTTTTGGTTGAAACACTGTGTTCTATAGGATCCCACATTAAGCCTGCCACTATAAGGGTGGTAATATAATGTTACATAGTTACATAGCTGAAAAGAGACTTGCGTCCATCAAGTTCAGCCTACCTCACATTTGTTTTTTGCTGTTGATCCAAAAGAAGGAAAAAAAAACCAGTTTGAAGCACAATTTTGCAACAAGCTAGGAAAAAAATTCCTTCTTGACCCCAGAATGGCAGTTAGATTTATCCTTGGATCAAGCAGTTATTACCCTACATTGAAAGATTATATCCTTGAATATTCTGTTTTGCAAGTATGCATCTAGTAGCTGTTTGAACATCTGTATGGACTCTGATAAAACCACTTCTTCAGGCAGAGAATTCCACATCCTGATTGTTCTTACAGTAAAAAAAACCTTTTCTTTGCCTTAGACGAAATCTTCTTTCTTCCAGTCTAAACGCATGGCCTCATGTCGTATGTAAAGTCCGGTTTGTGAATAGATTTCCACACAGTGGTTTGTATTGGCCCCGAATATATTTGTATAATGTTATCATATCCCCTCTCAGGCGACGTTTTTCTAAACTAAATAGGTTTAAATTTGTTAACCTTTCTTCATAGCTGATATGTTCCATTCCTTTTATTAATTTTGTAGCCCACCTTTGCACTTTTTCTAGTGCCATAATATCCTTGTTTAGAACAGGTGCCCAAAATTGCACAGCATATTCAATATGGGGTCTTACCAGTGATTTATAAAGAGGCAAAATGATATTCTCGTCCCAAGAATGAATGCCCTTTTTCATGCATGACAATACCTTACTGGCCTTGGCCACTGCTGATTGACATTGCACATTGTTGCATAGTTTGTTGTCTATAACAATTCCCAAGTCCTTTTCGTGTGTTGTTATCCCTAATTTTCTTCCATTAATGGTATACGTTGCTTGTGAATTCTTTATGCCAAAGTGCATAACTTTGCATTTTTTAACATGAAATTTAATCTGCCATTTGAGTGCCCAGTCCCCCAGTCTATCTAAATCCCTCTGCAGCAAAGTAATATCTTGCTCACATTGTATTATTTTACAAAGTTTTGTGTCATCTGCAAACACTGAAACATGACTTTCAATGTCATCCTTTTAGTATTGGATACTTGGTGCCTTAGGATTGTGTGTTGGTGGCATATCTGCTTTGACACAAGACATAGATTTTAACAATTCATGTTTGAATTTGAGCTGTCTTGAAGTATTTGGACTCACTGAAGTCCAGACCAAATTCAAGCTCATTCGAAACATGCTCTGCAAAATTCACACATTGGTACTTACAGTGAACAATGTCTAGGTTTTGCAGTGGGAACCTAAACTGTGCCAAATGGTTTGCCCCATTCAGTATATTGCCATTAAAAAAAAAAAAAATCATTGGTTTTGTTTTATAAAGAAACAAGCACATTTATAAAGGTTATCAGCAACAGTTCCTGCGTAAATAAAACTTCCAGTAAATAAAACAGAAGAGCACTCATCATGTTATAGGGTATTATATTGCCTATTTTCACAAATTCTAAAGTAAAATTATAGTTGTTTCTCTAAATGTCTGTACCCAAAGCAAGTTTTAACATTGTTACTCACACTGACTAAGAAGAGACAGATTAATTTTTATTCCAGGAATTCCCCATTGCTTGTTACCCTTGATTTGTTAAAAACAAATGACATTCACAGGGTTTAACTTTATCCACACAAAAATAATAATGGTATTGCTGCACTTTAGTGACCTCCGGTTGACTGGCTTACTGCTGCTGATATTTATTGTGGTATATAAATTCTCGTTATTTAAGTCCATACTCATTTCCTGTTTGACCTCCCACGCTCATTACACAATTCTGTTTCTGAAAACGAACTCCATGCTCCATGAACAGGGAAGCTAACACCAATTTAGGCAAACATATGGTTATCTAAATCTGTTTTGTTCTATTTCAATACTCTCTATACCATTACTATTTGGCCATTGAATCACTTTTTGATTTATTCACTAAATTGGGAAACATTAGGATTTCAGGCTGAATTCCAAGCAAATTTAAAGTATTCAGCCATAATAGCTGAATTGATAGAGTTCTCAAATCCGATCTGTTTTTAGTTTGACTATTTTGGTCTGAAATTGGAAATTCATTTTATATTCACTGTGTCTTTAATATGCATTTTCTAACTACAAACCTAAAAAGCATTACAGGCCTACCGTGCATGTATGGCAATTGCTTTGCTGCACCAATCAGCATTTCCTCATAGAAATGCATTACACCGATACATCCAGGGCCGGTGCAAGGATTTCTGCCGCCGTAGGCAAAGATCTATTTTGCCGGCCCCTCAGATCACTAACTCACTGAAAGACACACACTGACACACACACTAGCTCACTGACACACACACAGACACTTACTGACAAACATACACACACTCACTGACATACATACACTCACTCATTGACAGACAGACACACATACACTCACTCACTGACACACACACACAGACACTTACTGACAGACACACTCACTGACACACACACACACACACAGACACTCACTGACATACATACACTCACTCACTGACAGACACACACACACAACACTTACTGACAGACAGACATACACTCACTGACAGACACATAATCACTCACTCACTGACAGACATACACTCACTCACTGACACACACACAGACACTCACTGACAAACACACACACAGGCAGACACTCACTGACACACTTAAACACTAACGTCCCTGCTGGGGTCCAGTGTGGAGCAGCTCCTCAGTTCTCCAGCATGCAGTTTAGTGTGCCTGCTCTGCATTACCTAATACAGGTTCGGAGGTGCCCTGAGGGGGCCAGATGGCCACCTCCTGGGCCCCCTATGACAGCGCTCTTTTTGGCGCCCCCACCTTCGGGCACCTTGAGGATCGACCTAACGCTGGGGAGCGGCTCAAGAGCCGCTCTCCCAGCGCTGTGGCCCCAGACAAGGGGTGCCCACCAGGAAACATCCCAGTGGGTGCTCCCAGCAGATCGGCGCCCTAGGCAAATGCCTAATTTGCCTAACGGTGGCACCGGCCCTAAATGCATCTCTATGGAAGTGTTGATCTTGATGATGATGCTGAGCCTGAAGACAGTGAACTACGGTTATGGTGCCAGGAGTTCCTCTGCACTCCATCCCACCCCATTGTAAGTAGTCAGACTATTTTTGAGCATTTTGACTTCATACCTGGGATTCAATTAGGGGTCCCCAAGCCAGAGACTAGCTCAAGAACCAAGAGTGATAAACAGGCAGACAGTAATCATCCAAATCACTCAACAACTGCCCTTTTAAAACTGTCATGAAACAATGAGATTGCAGTTATTTTCCTTGATTTTGCCAAGGCCCTTGACACAGTAGAGTCGACCATGGCATTCTTTTGCAAAAACTTAAAAACTCAGGTATTGGTGATCGTCCGCTAACCTGGTGTCGATCATATGTAACAGATCGATCGCAATATGTGGCCATTTCTAATATTGCCTCCCTCTTCCAATCATGTGTGTTGTTGCCCAAAGCCCCCTACTCTTCACATTATTTATAAATGATCTGCCTAATGTCTGCAAAGCCTTAACTATACACATGTATGCAGGCGACAGTTATCTAGGCTAGTAAACCCAAGCTACCCCAGCTTGAGACTGTGCGCCAATACCAATTTACAGAGGTAGAAAAGTGAATAGCGGATAACAAACTCTTCCTAAACACTGACAAAACGGTTAAAATGATCCTTGGAACTGTACCTAAATTACGTAAACAACAAAACCCCCAACTATAGAACAATTTCAAATATGTAGTTATATTTCTAGACCCCAATCTATTCTTTGACCGATCCATTGAAAACTCTCTTTAAAACTATATCCAAAACTAGGTGTCCTGTAGAAACATATCCTGCCTAAGCCATACAGTAAGGAAACAATAAATGCTACTGCCGGTCATTGATTATCGGGATGTAGTGTATGCACCTGCACCGCAAATCCACCTTAATAAACTTAATGCATTGTATAATTTGTTCTGCCACTTTATACTAGAATATAATTACACGACCCACCATTGTGACATGTTATGTTGTTATGTTGAATTCCGACGCACACTTCATTTTTCCAGCCTTGTGCATAAGAGCTTTTATGAGAAGCTCCCACCCTACCTGAGTAGAATGCTCTCCCTGGCAGTTCCCACCTCCTATAACCTCTGATACAGTACTATCGCGATATTTAGCATACTACAATACAAAAATAAAGTGGCTCGATCCTCATTTTCCTACAGAGCACCACAATTATGGAATTACCTCAGGGACACAGAGCTGTTTGGCAGCATACCTAAATACATATGTCATTGCTGACTATATTTATTACCTATTATCTGTTACATTTATATATTTGTGTATGTATATATATATTGTATTATTTTTTTTGCAATATTATATTGTACCCTATTGTAACAATGTAGTGATTGTGGGCTGAGGACATAACTGAAAACGAGAGAAATCTAAATGTATCCTTCCTGGTAAAATATTTTGTAAGTAAATAAAAATAAGATGCCAGAGAAATAGATTATTTTTTTTTTTTTATTTGCTTTCTTGGTTTTCACAGAATAAAGACATTTTATTCTAATGATCTACTTATATAAATATTATTTATTGTACATACATAGGGATGGTCTGTGGGAGTGCATATTTCATATATATTTTTATATTTTTTATTATTTGTGTATTATTTAATAGGTGTAGTACACACAGAGCTTGTTGGCACCTCACCTTATATATTTGTATACAATTACTTTTGTGTGCGTATTTTTGCCTCATTTTTTTTTTTTACATGATAGATTGTTTCCCCTGAAAACATTAATGTGCAGCCATTCATGTTCTGAAAAGGAAATGTGTAGGTATTTGCCAAAGACAGCATGCTTTATATTTTGCGGGGGGATGATGGGCTGATTGGAGATGTATACTCAAGAGTAGCCACACTAGATTATTTTTAAAACCCTCCTTTAAAAACATATTTCAATCCCTCGATATAAAATGTGCACCACTCGTGACATATTCTGTACTGACAACGCAATTTCTATGCGTTATTTTTCCCTATTAATAAGTCTCTATAAGCTTGTTTGTCTAACAATGCACAAAGAAAATAAAGAATGTCAAAATAAACAAAAAAAAAACATACTTCAAATATGGACTCTACACTTCACTCCCTTATTTTATTTTTTTTAAAAGTCTCTCTTTTTGGCATGCACTGGTTAGATATGCTTGGGGCATAAGAAAAACTCACCAAAAACATTTGGGGATTTTACACCCATAGTGTTAAAAATTCCTTTACACAGAGTAAGCACCTAAGCAAGTTTTGAAATGAATCTCTTCATATAACGCTCATACCACAGGCCTAATTTCACTGGCTCGACTCGAATTGCAGAGCCATACACTAGAGTGTGAAATCTTCTGTAATATAATATGGAATAATGACCATTGTTCCTATTGTATATTTGTGTCTACAATCACTATTTTGAAATCTTTCCACTTGTAGAACAGTTTTCACTACATCACTAAAACAGCTCGAGGCAACATAGGTAACATAGGTGTTTCACGTGAAAAGACAAAAGCAAAGAAAATGTCAGGGTGTGGACCAATCTTCTATTTAAATAACTATATTACAGTGAGGGGAAATAAAGGTATTTGATCCCCTACTGATTTTGAACGTTTGCCAACTGACAAAGAAATGATCAGTCTATAAGTTTTATAGAGAGAGAGAATAACAAAGAAAATACTGAAAAATACTAGTCAAAAAAGTTATAAATTGATTTGCATGTCAATAACTGAAATAAGTATTTGATCCCCTTTGACTTTCTACTTGGTAGCAAAACCCTTGTTTGTAGTCACAGAGGTCAGATGTTTCTTTGCCACCAGGTTTGCACACATCTCAGAAGGGATTTTGTCTTATTCCTCTTTGCAGATCCTCTCCAAGTCATTAAGGTTTTGAGACTGACGTTTGGCAACTCGAACCTTCAACTCCCTCCACAGATTTACTATGGGATTAAGGTCTGGAGACTGACTAAGCCACCCCAGGACCTTAATGTGCTTCTTCTTAAGCCACTCTTTTGTTGCCTTGGCTGTGTGTTTTTGGTCATTGTCATGCTGGAATACCCATCCACTACCCATTTTCAATGCCTTGGCTGACAGAAGAAGATCCTCACCCAAGATTTGACAGTACATGGCCCTGTCCATCGTCCCTTTGATGTGGTGCAGTTCTCCTGTCCCCTTAGCAGAAAAACATGCCCAAAGCATAATGTTTCCACCTCCATGTTTGACGGTGGGGGTGGTGTTCTTGGGGTCATAGGCAGCATTCCTCCTCCTCCAAACATGGCCAGTTGAGTTGATGCCAAAGAGCTCAATTTTGTTCTCATCTGACCACAACACTTTCACCCAGTTCTCCTCTGAAATGTTCAGATGTTCACTGGCAAACTTCAGACGGGCCTGTACATGTGCTTTCTTGAGCAGCAGAACCTTGTGGGCGCTGCAGGATTTCAGTCCTTTACGGCGTAGTGCGTTACCAATTGTTTTCTTGGTGACTATGGTCCCATCTTCCTTGAGATCATTGACAAGATCCTCCTGTGTAGTTCTGGGCTGATTTCTTACCATTCTCATGATCATTAAAACTCCACGAGGTGAGATCTTGCATGGAGCACCAGACCGAGGGAGACTGGCAGTTATTTTGTGTTTCTTTCATTTGCAAATAATTGCACCAACTGTTGTCACCTTCTCACCAAGCTTCTTGGCATTGGTCTTGGAGCCCATTCCATCCTTGTGTAGGTCTATAATCTTGTCCCTGACATCCTTGGACAGCTCTTTGGTCTTGGTCATGGTGGAGAGTTTGGAATCTGATTGATTGATTGCTTCTGTGGACAGGTGGTGTCTTTTATACAGGTAAAGAGCTGAGATTAGGAGCACTCCCTTTAAGAGAGTGCCCCTAATCTCAGCTTGTTACCTGTATAAAAGACACCTGGGAGCCAGAAATCCTGCTGATTGATTGGGGATCAAATACTTATTTTACTCATTGACATGCAAATCAATTAATAAAATTTTGGACATGCGTTTTTCTACCTTTTTTTTTTTTTTTTTAAATTCTGTCTCTCACTGTTAAAATTCACCTACCATTAAAATTCTAGACTAATCATTTCTTTGTCAGTGGGTAAACGTTCAAAATCAGCAGGGGATCAACTACTTTTTTCCCTCACTGTATGTTTTATAGTTACCTTTTCAGACTCAAAATAAAAAAAATACCACATATTCTAATGAATGGTTTTCTTATATATGTGTCAGTTTAAGACAGTATTTGAGCAATTCTTTTATGTATTCCAGGAAAAATCTTTGTCGTACTTCAGTTCTCTCTGGCAATCTCTGCAGTGATTACCTCCATTGCATTCAACAAGATCTACCAGGCTACGTTACAACTTTTCTCTGGTTCAAGTTTTATCCTATCTGCTGTAATTGCTGCTCTGAGTCTTATTCCCATTGGGTAAGTAGAACGACATTGTAATGGTAGCTTACTATATAGCACTAAGAAAAACATAGAAAGGCTGGTTATGTGTTAGTAACTGTGCCTATATCAGTATATGTTAACTCGTTAAGGACAAGGTTAATAGTCCAAATTCAGAGCCAAAACAAAACCTAGAAATGCATGTGTTTGTTCCACCATAATGTAAGGGTTTCTCTTTAAGTTCCCCCATACATATCATATATTGTTTTTTAAAGGACAGAAATATTAAGTGTAAATAAAATGTTTTAAAAAAAAATGAAAACGAAAAACATTTTTTTAAAACTGTACATCCAGTTCAACAAAAAAACAAAACTCAAAGTAGATTCCTCTGTCAGTCCTGATTGTTAAATGCCTCATATGTTTATGATCTAAATACACTTTTGGTAATTAATGTTAACCCTTTGCCAACCTGCCACCTAGAGCTATGCATACTTTAACCCTATGCTTACACCAATGCTACTTGTATACATATCCTTACCTTACCCTTAACCCGACACTATCTATAACCCTAGAACAGCATTAACCCAAACCCAGCATTAACCCTTACCTTTCTACACTCACACCCATAAATCTAACATTATCTCCAACGTAACCCTAACATCTCCACTAATCCCAATCCTAAAGAAAACCTCTGCTAATATAAATGTTCTTAATTAAAACAGTATATGGAGGTCTGTTACATTCAATGTAATCATGAATGGAGCCTGCTTCCAAGCTGATTACACTGTGACCGGTGCTGGGCCACTGGCAAAGCTGGGAATAGGCAGGGAGAGATTGGCGGTCCCCCTGAAGCAGTCTGCACCCCAGAAACACCGCAGCTGTTATCACTCAGCCGAGGTGTAATGAATGCAGTTAAAGGGCTCTAAGCAGGAATATGAGTGGGGATTTTAACACTGCTCACATCAAAACTGCTGCCATTACACATTAAAGGCATTAAAGCCCATTATCGTTAGGACGTGCTGACACGTCTTAAGGTCCTTAAAGTTTAACTCCCTGAGAGACGTAAAAAATAGGGATATGAAAGAAATTTACGAATCAATTAGAAAAGTAGACGTTATATGTAAAGTATGTTAAGATAAAACTAAAAAAGCTAAATTAAATATGAAGAGCTAATAAATATACAATCATTGTAGAAACCTTGGTATATCTGAAGATCATAAAACCGATACATTAAGTGTATCCTTTATAATGTTTCTACCGAGATAATTAATTTTTTTCTGGTCCCTGAGTGCTCACTGTACGCATACAATAGAGAAAAAGGGTAGGGTCGCACTCAGCCACAACAATTCAACCCAGGGTGCTACTGAGCATGGGTCAGCAAAAAACCACAAGAACAATGTACAAAATGAAAAAACTCAGGCACTCACTGCGATTATTTGCAGGCAGATTTATTGCAACGTTTCGACCTGTTAAGGTCTTTTTAAAGCTAACACCACAGTGGCAAAATTGCACTTATACATACACAAGTTACAAACAAACAATTAGTTAAGTAAACAATTAGGCAATTAGAAATTACATTAAACAAGTGTTAAAAAAATAATACAATCAATATATCAAGTTAATGCATCAAACTTTAAAAAAGACATGGTAATGAATAAATAGATTCTATTTGTACACTGTACATATACAGTCTCTCAAGTTAGAATTAACCTAATCATTTAAATGTAGCAGCAGGCAAAGCTGAGATGCAGCACTAAAAAGTACACTCCGAATTAAAATGAAAACATTAAAAAAAAACATTGTTGGAGGTCCACAGTGCTCTAAACCTCGTCCAAGTGTCCTTTGTTCTGCTAGATAGTTGCTTGGTGACTCTAACATATGCAGACACCAGGAGAATGGGCATTTCTTGGCCCGTTCTTTGAGCTTGAAAATGTGAATATATGACTTACCCTACCACCCACTGTGCAGGATGGAAGGAAGTGGTAGGATCATTCACAGCCCCCTACCTGGTTTTGTTTCCTATCTAGTCCTCATCTAACAATGTTGAGGAAGGGTATACTCTCTAAGGTGTTTTTAGTTGGAATAAAATAGAAAATCCCTTTCTTGTGGTTTTGCGGAAGGTCATTTTGTCATGCTCTTTCTATAATTTGATGGACCCTCTTATGGTTGTTGCCAAACCAGTTTAGTTTGCTGGTCAGGTCAATCTGGAGTGCGTTTACTTTTTCCATTGACATTAGTTTGCTTCTCACTGTTTAGCGCACAGGAGGACCATCATCCGCCATAACAAAACGCAAGTTTGCTCCTGTTGCCAATTATTTCTTCCTGCAGTGGAGAGACTGTCTCAAAAAAACCAACAAAATAAATTGTTTAGAAAAAAATGTGGACAACAGAAAAATCACAATTAATTAATGTTAATTTTAATTATAGAAATCTTCAATTACTGCCATAATTATATCCTAAAGGTCATGTTTGAAATCTATGCTCTATTTTCTCTGTAAGGGGGCTGTCCTAGGTAATAGTTTGACAGCATTTGTAGCTAATTTCAGGATTCATCAGTAGTGATAGACATTTTAAAGTGTTATGTTACATTCCATTTTTAGATAAATTATTGTTATGATTAAGTTTTTACATAAAAAGAACAGATCATATAATTTAGTTTAATTATTCTTGAATAGCAACAAGTAAAATGTAACATGTTAATCGCAGTGTGTAACTGTTAATCATATTTTGTCATCTCTTTTAGTATTGCAGCATATAAGTATCCAACAAGACCCAATACTGATGCCACAACGTGACCAGAATCCAAGATGGCAAAGACTGATCAATCCTGTTTCTTTGATGTATATTTCACTAAATCTTTATAATGAACATTTTAGTTCCCGTACTAGGCTCATGTGTTTTACAATAAATACTCACCTGTTTCAAGCTTTAAGAAGACAGTATAAAACCCCACAACATTCGCTAACTGGAAAAGGCCTGGTATATTACATATCTCACAGTAACGATATCATGAAGAAGTGGCCAATCTACAGTTACATAGTTACATAGACTGAAAAAAGACACGTGTCAATCAAGTTCAGCTTTTATACTGTGGCCAGGAAAAGACTGACAGCCCTATGATGAGCCACACTCACTGATTCTGCAGCCAAACACTGTGTCAGTTGGTTATATCCTCTGTTTCCAATTGGTCATTGACTGTATCCCATCCCACCGGAGAGATGGGTCCACCAAGGTGTGTGGAAATTTTGAACCCTGTTGTAAGTGTGAAAATATGTTTGTCTAGTTGTAGTAGTGCAGTGTTGTGATTACAATGTGCAACTCACCAAAGGTTTGCAATATGGGATCGTATTTAATGTATGTGTGAATGTGTTTAGAAACATAGAATGTGACGGCAGATAAGAACCATTCGGCCCATCTAGTCTGCCCAATTTTCTAAATACTTTCATTAGTCCCTGGCCTTATCTTTTAGTTAGGATAGCCTTATGCCTATCCTACGCATGTTTAAACTCCCTCTCTGTGTTAACCTCTACCACTTCAGCTGGAAGGCTATTCCATGCCCCCACTACCCTCTCTGTAAAGTAATAATTACTAAGAATTATTTTTTTAACCTTGCCCCTTGGTTTCCAAATACATCCTGAGCATGTTACTGTTGCCCAGCATCCAGGGGATGTTACTATTGCGACCCCCAAGGTTGAACAGATTCTACTGATGAAACATTAGCCCACTGAGCTATATCACCAGGCTGTTTAGCAGATATGCCCAATCTTCAGCATATCAAGTGGGATTATAAGGGGGGTTTTATACTATAGTTAGACCCACATGGGCTTTGTTAAACTTTTTACTTTGGTGGCTGGCTAGTGATAGGTTTTTAACGATTTGCTGTCTGGCTGCTAGCACTGGTAGTTTATCTCACAATGTAATAGAGTTGGTGATTTTAAGTGAGCAGCAGAATATGCAAAAGGGCTGGAGCATTTTGGTAACCAGATAAAAATAAACTATGATATCAATGGCCCCTACTGAAGATGAATAGTTCCAAGTTAATCAACATTTGAAGGTTGGTAAAGTGTGTCAATGTTAAATCTGGGAGAGTTGTACATGCACTGATGTTTTAAATGCAAAATTATTGTCTGCCACATGATTTAACTCTTACACCGCAGAGTGTTTTTTTTTTTTTAACGATTTGTCTTCTGACTGCTAGCGCTGGCAGTAAGTATGTAGTACTGATTATTATAGCAAAAAGCAAGTGGACAATCATTTCCAAATAAGAATCCTACTGGATACACATTTGGAATTATCTGGTTATCTTTAGAATCTGTGCTTTGTAAATGTATGGATCATATACTTCAAATGTGAAATGAACGGCTTTTAAAGTTGACACTGAATGTGCCCAGCAACATGGTGCAGATTCTGCATTCTTTCTTTCTACAGATCCAGATATGCACCATGATTTCCAGTGGCAAAAACAAACATTTCGAAATTTAGCAATATCATATGCAAACAATGAAATGCTTTACCTTTAATCAAAATTAGAAATTCAATGGCACTCTTCCACCCTTGCTCCTCCATTCCTTTTAACATGTTTCCTCAGCTGCCTCTAATCTTAACGATTTAACTACCTTACACATTATTCAGTATTTACATATTGCCCCAGATCTCAGGCCATCAACATCATATCTCAATTTCCCATTATTACCCATTTAGATTGGAAGCTCACATGATGTCTTGCTAAGCACTTTGTTTGCTAGACTGTAGGCTCATGGGCAGAGCCTGTTTTTGTTTGCATCAGTACATGTTCATTATTTGTCTGTATTATTATTTATATAGCGCCAACAAATTCTGCAGCGCTGTACAATGTGGTGTTCCCTCTATTATGCAGCTGTCGGCACTATATACATACCAAATAATTATAATAATTAGACTTGTTTATATTAATTTAGGTGGGCTCCAATTCTGAACTCATTCAGATTAATTTTGTGATGGCTTTTAATAAAATATGTATAATAGAGAGTACATTTTTTTTTCTCTTTTTCATCATGGTAGCCCACCATGTATCTCAGCAAAGTGTTTGTCTGATGGACAAACTGGAAGGAAGAATCCATTACAAAAATAACACCAAATACAAAGTTAAGCAATGCATACCATGACATTCCAACTACCCTTCAAGGAAGGATAGACTATATTCTTCCACACTATCATGGAATCACAATCAACACAAACCACATACCACTCGATCCAATAATTATCAAACCCAGCACATGAATATCACAACTCTTTTCCCACAGCTTCCAATTATCATAAACACAATGATAATCCAACATATTCCCCAGGGATATATCAAAATGATAGCACAACAAGACCCAAAGTCCAAAGATCTAGATACGCACACAGACACTTTGAAAGCACTAAGTCACCTATCAGTTACACTCACAAAAACAGATATCAAATGTTATCTATAGACTCAGAATCTGAAAATGATTATTTTTTAGAATTATGCACTCAGAACAACACCCACGCACAAACACCACATCCTATAAAAACAAGGAAAAGGAATTTAAGTTTAGAGGAAGGAGAAGTGGGAGAAGAACTCAAAAGAGAAAGGCTAGATCGACAATAACTCCTATAAATGAGAGGGAACTTGGCATTTTTTATTTATCACAAAAAGCCCTAACAGCCACACAAATATCAGTCCTCAGTAAAGGACTAAAGTTTGCCCCAATGAACCCTTATAAGCCATTTAAAGCATTCATAGATATTAATAAATTTGTAAGGAAGGCTACCCTAAGCCTAAAGTCATTTAAGAGATCCCTCTCTACATACCTCAAAACAGAATGCATGTGTCATGGTTGATTATATATTTCCTGCCTGTTCTATGTTAAATTTTGTATATATTGTGTATTAATATTGTTTTTGTATTTTGTTGTACCTAATGTAGCAATGCAATGATTTGTGGACCCAGGACATACTTGAAAACGAGAGAAATCTCAATGTATCTTTCCTGGTAAAATATTTTATAAATAAATAAATAAATAAGAGATTCTTTGCCAGCAAAAACCTAGACACAATTACTCCGAAACTCCCAGTTACATTACCAGATGATTGCCCAAACGTAATATCTACCTCTCTAAAAAAGAACTCCACCTTTTTCCCATCAAGTTTCAAAACAGGCCCCCTTGAGGTCTTCGAAAAATTGGTCACAAAAGATTTTGAAAAAATCAAAAGAGACAAATATAATCAAGACAATCTCTCACAATTAGAACGTAAGGCACTTTCACAATTACAAAAAGATGAAAGCATTGTCATAAAATCAGCCGATAAAGGTGGGGGAATTGTAATACTGTCTAAAGATATGTACGAAGGAGAAGCCATGAGACAACCCAATGACCATAAGGTCTATGACAAATTACCACAAGACCCGACCCCAAGGATGCAGCAAATTTTAACCTCTTTTTTAAATAATGGCCGAGACCAAAAGATTTTAAATAAACAAGAATACAACTTTTTAAATGTCTCTCATTCAAAAATTCCAGTTATTTACTTCTTACCAAAAATTCATAAAGATGATAAAAATCCCCCTGGAAGGCCTATTGTATCAGGGATAAATTCCATTTTATCAAACTTATCTGAATATTTAGATATCCTCCTACAACCCTCTGCTAAATGTATGAAATCGTACTTAAAAGACTCCATGACTCTACTACGTTTTTTAAATAATTTTATTTGGAAAGACACTTATTTTTTAGTTACTTGTGACATACAATCGTTGTATACAATTATCCCTCACGATAAAGGCTGCTCCGCAGTGGAAAAAATTCTAAGGGCAGAAAACAGAATTCCAGACCAACAAATTAGTTTTATAATAGAAGGTATTAATATTATTTTAAAAAATAACTATTTTTGGTTTTTAGACTCTCTTTATTTACAGAAACAAGGTACTAATATGGGGACCAGGTTTGCGCCCAGTTATGCTAACCTCTTTATGGCAGAGTGGGAAACTACAGCCATTTTTGGAGAGCATGACTGTAAGACAAGCCTGGTCACATATTTTAGATATGTTTTTTATCTGGGAAGGCACAGAAAGTTCCCTTAATCAGTTTCTACTTTTTTTAAACCAAAACAATAATGGTATAGTTTTAACACATGAATATAGCCAATCTGTTATTCATTTCTTAGACCTAGAAGTTTTTATGAGGTTCATACTTTTTTTTAAAAGTCTGCACAAACAATGTAATTGATATATCAAGCTTCCATTATAAACCATGGCTGCATGGAATACCTAAAAGTCAGTTCCTCCATTTGCGAAGGAACTGTTCTCTCACCCCAGACTTTGAAGACCAATCCCATACGTTATTATGTAAATTCTCACAAAAAAATTACCCTACTAATAACTTAAATTAAGCTATTAAAAATGTTAGGGAAAAAGACAGATTGGATCTCCTAGAATATCGAGATAACAAAACCTCTAAGAATGCTCCATCATTGCCAATTATCTTCGACTTCAATAACAAAAATAATGTTATGAAGAAGATTATCAACAAACATTGGCATATATTAAAACAGGATGAGACTTTAGCTGGGATTATCCCAGAAAAAACACATTATATTCAGAGGGGCACCTAGCTTCAAATCCATCCATACAAAGAATTATACCAAACAGAACCAAACTACCTCTTCTTTTTGTTCTACACCTTTTCTTAATAAGCCCAAAGGTTTTTTTAAATGCAATAAATGCACAGTATGCAAACATACGGACGACCGTATTAAATCAAAAACTACCTCCTTTAAATCATCCATTACCCAAAGAATATACCTTATAAAAGATTTTATCCACTGTAGTACTAAAAATGTAATTTACCTATTAGAATGCCCATGTGGACTTCAATAAGTGGGCATGAACACTAGAGAATTAAAAATTAGATTGGCAGAACATTGCCGAAATATTCGAAAAGGTTATGAGAACCATTCAGTATCTAAACACTTTTTAATACATGGTAAAAATCTTAAATTTTTAAAATGCATAGGTATAGACACTTGTAACATCCCTTGGAGAGGTGGAGACATAAAAAAGATTCTAGGTAGTAAAGAAATGGAATGGGCATTTAATTTAAAAACTCTTACCCCACAAGGTCTCAATATAGACTTCGACCTTTTTAATTTTTTATAACTTTTATTGCATCTATCCCTCCCTTTTAATCATGTATTTTTAATCAAAATTAACAAAAGTAGAAATATATATGTATATATATATATTTATATATTTATGTATTTTAAATATAAAAAAATCATTTTTATATAACACTAATATTCACATTTATTTTATATTATTTTTTATATACACTTTTCTATATATAAACATTTTTTAATATTTTTTAAATATAAATAACTTTGTAATTAATCTATTGCTCTTTTTTATATAAATTTTTTTTATATACATATTTTTATCCTTTTAGCAATCATTTATATATTTTTATATTTTATTATATCAATCTGTTGCTATGGTTCCATCTGTGTGCCCCCTATGTATTTGAATCTGGGGTCTGGCTGCCCACTTTTGAGAGCATGCTGTCTGTTCGTCTGTTTGAACAGACGGCATGCTCACAGCCTGCCTCCAGCACTCACGATCACCAGAGGGTTCCTCCCCTCTGATGACGTGGGGCTTCCCCGAGTCCACCCGACCGGCACTCTATCTCCGTATGCATGCGTTCCATCACTATGGAATGCATGCGTTTCATTGCACCCACGTGACGCGGAAGTAATTTTGTGCCACGCGTCACGTGACTTTCACTTGTAATTATGATCTACATCTCGTTTTCTATAAAATATGCATATAATCAATGTGTATATGTATGTATATGATATTTATATTACTGTTAATATAATATACCTATTTTGATATGTACTTTAAAATTAAGTTTGTGATGACATCATTATTATGGCGTGAATATTCAAATTCCAGTACATTTAGTATACCCTATATAAAGCATTGTCAGTCAGGTTACTGTTTCTACTATATTCTACTTGAAGAAGCCTGTTGTGGGCGAAACGCGTTTAGAATTTGTTTTAATAGTTTTTATATTGTCCTAATAAAGGAATTTTGGCCTCAAATATTTTATCGCCACATTCCTATTTTTTACTTAATTTTATTCTCACACCTAACTAACTTGAATCAACACGAATTTACGGAAAAATCCTTAGGTGGGGATTATACCACCCATACCCTAAAAAAGGACTGCTCAATATATTGTGAGTACATTTCATACTTTTCTTTTTATTTATACTCATATCATACAGTGAGCACTATATATTTTATCTGTTTTAATTTTTTCGATCAGAATCCTCGGTGGACCACCTATTTTGCAAGTTACTGCTCCATATATCCTTGAGTGGGGATCATTCCACTTCACGCACTTCATACCAGAGCTGGATTTTAGCTCTGGAAATTGTGAGTAATTCCAATTTATTGCATATATACATACTGTACCATTGGTTGTCCTTTTTACTTTTCTCCACATATGGCTCATTGAAAATACAAGTCATCATCTGGGACGAAACAACATTACGCTACAAAGAACATTCTTCATTTATCTGTGGACTATTACCTTGGACTTTTTTATCCCAATTTCTATTTTATTGTAGTTTATATATTTTTTTTAGCTATATATTTATGTATTTTTACTAAAGGCGCGCCCTATTTCTTTTGTTTTTCAGTTTCTCACTAAGCTATAGGGGATGGGAGGGTACCCCCCTTTATAGGTGTGCTGTCTTTTTACTATTTTACAAAATATTTTCTGTGGCATTATCAGCGCTGATCCTACTTTGATTATTTTATCCCCCAAAAGTAGATTACACTGCCTGGCTGCCACTTTACTTTTCCAAAACAGGAATAAGTGCTCCTGCGAGGCCCTCCTTACCCCCAACAATACATTAATTTACCAAGTTACACTAGGCTGTTTTAGAGGATTCTATTTATTGTGATCTACACTGTTTTATTTTATTTTTCCCATAAAATGTATTGGGTTTTAGTATGCAAAATAATAGTACAAGAAGCAAAAAAATAAATACAAGACAAAATTATTAGCACTGGTGCAAAACGGAACTAGCTGACCATCAATAATCACATTAAAAAGAAAAGAGCAGTAATAAAGAGTGCACATTGGCAAGCTATAATTGCTTGTGTCTGAAAATGGGTAGAAGACCAATAAAAGGAAGTATACAGAAAGTAGACAAAGTTAGAAAAGAGGGAGAGTCCGAAGAAGGAATGATGAAAAAAAGATGAGGGCATTCCAGATGTCACCTCAGTGAAGATAACTGAAAAAGATAAGTTACTTCTTGTGGATTGCAAAACATCTAGAGAGTTGATGGATTAGAGCTAAACAATTTGCATTCTTTTAAATGTTTTTACTGTATGCACCCATGTTTTCGTAAATATAATAAGACATTTTTACCATAGTTTGAGGTTATCTAGGCCGGATAAAGAGTACAATGGTGCTGCTGGTTCACCTATTTACCACTATAACATCTTAAAGCATAGAATTTAACAGGGGTAACCATACAGATGTCTTATCTATAATATTGCATAGTTAGTAAAAGTTCCTATAATAAATAAATAATTGAGAATACTATATAAAATAGGGATTTTCTTGGAAGCAATAAAGTTTTGTATTTTAAAATATTTTATAAACAAATATATATAAATATAGACATATAATAACATAATAATCCATTACAATAATTTATAGCAGAGTTTATGAGATTAAAGTATATGCTTTCAATATTGGTAAAATGGAAAAACATACCCTCTTGAACAAGTCAACCTCTCAGTTATGATAAAATGGAGCAACATCTAATTCTCTCCTGTGTGCTGCTAATATTAAGAAGTACACGTATTTATACCTTAGCTTTTCAATTAGGTCATGTTAGACCTACCTTAACTTGACAAATATATGAGGCCATGACTTTCCCATTTCATATGGGAACATCTTAATCAGTCTATTGACACAACCTTAAAATCTTAGACTAGAACTTAAGGGTACACATGATGTTGGAAATGCCCTCACTTGTTGTTACATTAACCTAGGACAAGATGGCGTCCTAAAGTCTGAACATCATATTCACCATATTCAATATGGGTAAGAAATCATTTATTAAAGAAACATTGTATGAAAAGCAATATTTTCCATTTCTAACAAATTGTCAGTTTGCAAAATCTCTTAAATACAAAGTACACAGTTTAAGAAATATAACTTTTCATTCTTAAAACATGTAATATTTGCAAATACAGTGGGACCTCGGTTTATGAATTTGTTGCGTTCTCCGTGACGTTTCTTATTGCGAAAAATTTGTAAACCGAAACACGGTTTCCCATAGGAATGCATTGAAAACGAATTAATCCATTCTGGAGGTCAGAAAAAGTCAAAATGAGCTGGCGTGGAAACCAACCCACAATGCAGAACACACAATAAAAGGCATGCAAACAACGAAGCTCAGCTCACTACCTTTCCACAGCTTGAGAAATGCACCAAAAAGTCCCAAAATAACTGAAAACAATTACCAGAATGGCTCCAAAACTCGGAGCAAAAGCCGCTCCAACACCTCTGTAGCGGAGATGCAATATTCCGCAGGTTATCTCCGCTTATAATCCAAGTGAGGCTCAGGAACAAGTAAATTGTAAATCCACAGGCAAGGTTTCCAGCAGGCAAAATAACACAGCAGTATCGCAGCAGCAATCCCAATAACTGGACGACACACAGTTTCAGGAGCAGAACTGAAAGCTTTATTCCACACTGGCCTTTTAAAGCATGCTCCCATGCAAGGGAGGGATTACATTCATTAATACAGTAGCCAATCCTGTCCTGGTAACCTCCCACCCATCTCCTCCCCTCAGCCGGCATCATAATCCCCTTATCCAGTACAGCAATTCCCCCCGCTTCTGGATGTACCCCTAAACGTGGGGGTACCCCTTTAAATCATACATCCACTGGTAGCCCTGATCTGGGTGAACAACATATCCAAAAATCACCCAGATCAGACCAGGGGTTCAGGAAATTTATGGAGGGAATAAAATGACTGACCACACTGGGTGAAACAGCCGAATGCGGTTCCATGTGAATGGGCCCTGCGGTCGGTCCTGGAGTCAGGGAATAAATGGCACGAAAACCTCTAGCTATAGAGGCTGGGGAGGGTTCGCCTGAATCCCCTCGTTCGGTTCTTTCTATCTACCGAACGAGGGGCCGTTCGGTAGTTAGGAACCGAACGGACCGGGCTTGTGGAGGTTTCAGCGGTGTTCGCCTAGTCGAGTGTCCGATTTGCGTTCCAGACACTCGACGGCAAAACACCGCTGTTCAGGAGTTTTAAAATGGCCGCCGCCTCGTGTTCGTTTTTCGAATGGCGGCCACCCCCGAGAACAAAGGACGGCTACTTAACTTGTCAATTACCCGTTCGCAACAATGTTGCAACGGGTAATTGAGGACACACTTCACACAGGGGAGGTCTGACTGTTCGGTAGTTTCATTCGAACAAACTAAGGGAATGAAACTACCTAACATTCAGACGAATACAATACATTAAATACATAGAACTTTGCTGTTTTCACACGAATGCATTAAAATACATGAAATTCTCAGGACAGCTTAGGGCCATCCGCTACACTGCTCCCCCTTGCCCACAAGCCGGCATACACAGTCTGATCCAACACGGATCGGCTTGGGGATATCCATGGAGGCTCACGGATCATTTCTCTAGGTCCGTTTGTCTTGACAACCCGTCAGCGTTTCCATTCTGTTTACCCGGGCGGTACTGGATATTAAAGTCAAAGGGCTGCAGCGCCAAACTCCAGCGCAGCAGCCTGGCATTGTCCCCAGCCACCCGGTTTAGCCAGACCAACGGGCTGTGATCCGTGAGCAGGGAAAAAGCTTGCCCATACAAATACGGCTGTAATTTCTTCAGGGCCCACACCACAGCCAGGCATTCCTTCTCGATGGCGGCGTAGCTTACTTCTCGAGGTAACAGCTTGCGGCTGATGTCAGCTACGGGATGTTCTCCGCCATCGGCCCCGACTTGGCTCAGTACTGCTCCCAATCCAAACATAGAAGCGTCTGTGTGAACAAGAAAACGTTTAGTTGGATTGGGAGCTGCCAAGACAGGGGCATTGGTCAATGCATCTTTCAACAGTTGAAATGCCTGCTCACACTCCGGGGTCCAGGTCACTTGGCGGGGAAGGTTCTTACGGGTTAAGTCAGTGAGGGGTTTGGCCAGGGCACTATAGTTCGGGACAAATTTCCGGTAGTACCCGGCCGTTCCTAGGAACGCTAATACCTGAGTCTTAGTCCTAGGGGTAGGCCATTGAGCTACAGCCTCTACCTTGGCTGGTTCTGGCTTCTGCTTGCCACATCCTACCCGATGGCCGAGGTATTGTACTTCGGCCATTCCTATGCTGCACTTGGCTGGTTTCAGCGTTAAACCAGCGGCCCTAATCCTGTCCAGGACCGCTCCTATATGGGTCAAGTGTTCCTGCCAGGTAAGCACAGGTATAATCTTGGAACCCATCCAGGAGGCGGTCCACCATCCGCTGAAATGTAGCCGGGGCGTTTTTCATCCCAAACGGCATGACCTTAAATTGGTACAAGCCGAATGGGGTGACAAAGGCCGACTTAGGGAAGGCGACTTGTGCTAAGGGAATTTGCCAATACCCCTTACACAAGTCAGTAGGGGTGAGATAGTGCCCCCTCGCCATCTGGTCCAGGAGTTCGTCTATCCTGGGCATGGGATAAGCGTCAGATACTGTCTTCTCATTCAGTCTCCGGTAGTCTACACAAAAACGGGTCGTTCCGTCCCGTTTTGGTACTAGCACTACCGGGGAAGCCCAGGGGCTGTCGGAGGGTTCAATCACCCCCAGCTGGAGCATCTCATCAATCTCCTTGCGCATGTTCTCCCTAACCGCTTCTGGGATGCGGTATGGGGTCTGACGCATGGGAAGTTGACCTGGGGTGTCTACTCGGTGAGTGGCCAGAGGAGTGTAACCAGGTATATTAGAGAAGATATCTTGCTTCTCCCTCAACAGTTGTTGTACCTCGCTCCGCTCCTGTGGGCTCAGCCGGTCTCCCAGGGCAACTTCCCCTAAGTCCCCAGATAACTGACCCTCTCCCAGCAGATCTGGGAGAGGCAGACTGTCAAACTCCTCCGAGTTAGGCGCGCATATGGCGGTCACTTCCTCGGAGGGCTCCTGGTAGGGCTTCATCATGTTCACATGGAGCATGCGTCGCCCTCCAGTACCAATGCAAGAGCCTATTATATAAGTGGTGTCACACCTTTGTTCTACCACTTTATAAGGGCCTTGCCAGGCAGCCTGCAGCTTATCGTGTCGGACAGGTTTTAAAATTAACACTTTCTGCCCGACCTGAAAGCTACGGTCCCTGGCGCCCCGATCATACCATGTGCGCTGGCGTGTCTGAGCCGCCTGCAAATTCTCGCGTACCGTCTGGGTTAGGGCCTCCAGGCAGTCTCGGAATGCCAACCCATATGGTATGATGGGAGTACCGTCGGTGCTCCGTTCTCCCTCCCAATGCTCTCTGATTAAATCTAAAGGCCCTCGTACCCTGCGGCCAAACAATAATTCGAATGGGGAAAACCCCGTGGATTCCTGCGGCACCTCCCTGTAAGCAAAGAGGAGGTGAGGCAGGAATTCTCCCAGTCCTTGTGGGTCTCTGCGAAGGTTCGGAGCATTTGTTTCAATGTACCGTTGAAACGTTCGCAGAGCCCATTCGTCTGGGGGTGGTAAGGGGAACTAATGACAGGCTTGATGTCACAGAACCTCCAGAGGCGCTGCGTGACTTCGGTGGTGAACTGGGTACCCTGATCCGAGACAATCTCCCTGGGAAGTCCCACCCAGGAGAATATCTGCATAAGGGCTTCCGCTACTGTTTCAGCCTGTATATTCGTCAGGGCCACCGCCTCTGGATATCTAGTGACATAGTCTACCACTGTCAGGATAAATCTTTTGCCTGACGGGCTCGCTTTGTTGAGGGGTCCTATTAAGTCGACTGCTACCCTACTAAAGGGTTCCTCAATTATGGGAAGGGGGTGTAGCTTGGCCTTGCGCCTGTCTCCCCTTTTCCCCACCCTTTGGCATGTATCGCAAGTGTTGCAATACCTGCGCACTTCCTGGCTAATTCCAGGCCAAAAGAAACTTTGTGTTAACCTGTGCCGGGTCCTGCTGACCCCTAAATGTCCGGATAGTGGAATGTCATGCGCTATCCGGAGTAGCTCTGCCCGGTACCGCTGTGGTACCACCAACTGTCTCATCACGATCGGGTCTGACCCGGCTACCTGCTTATCCGTCTCCCTGTATAACAGCTGTTTGTCCCAGATAAACCTTTCGCCATCTCCCCCAGGAGCGTCTGCTGTCACCTTGTCCCTATACACCTGCAAGGTGGGGTCAGTCACTACCTCAGCTGCAAATTCGTTAGGAGGGGCCCAGGGAACACAGTCTAGGGAAGGGGAAGGATCTCTTACCTGAACCTCCGGGAGTGTGTTGTAGTCCTGGGTGCAGGCCTGTTGTCGGGTGACCACAGGGTGAGCTTCTCTGGTGGTGGTTGTCTGGGGCTCAAAAGCAGACGTGAGCCTCCCCAGATCGTTCTCCAATAACACCTCTGCCGGTAACTGCGGCATCAACCCCACCTCCACATGCCGTGACCCCGCTCCCCAATGTAAATGTACCCTTGCTGTAGGTAGCCGGTACACTGCTCCCCCGGCTACCCGGACGGCCACAGTTTTACTTAATTTCGACTGATCCGGAACCAGGTGACTCTTTACCAGGGTGATTGTAGCTCCTGAGTCCCGTAGTCCTTGGACCGCTTTACCCTCCAGGTATACAGTCTGTCTGTGATGCTGTTGGTTATCAGCATTGGCCTGGACTGGATCCGCCTCATGTAGTACTTCCCACTATTCCATGGTGGTAATGGGAACTGCTGAACCATATGGTGTGGCTACTATATCCTGGTAGTGGTGGGTTGCGGCTGCTCTTGGTGGTGGTGGCGGGCCTGGACGGATCCAGGTGGAACGGTCCTGCAGCTGTGGGCATTCCCTTTTATAATGTCCCCATTTCTGGCAGTGATGACAGGGGCCAGACGTGGGCTGGCGGAAACGTGGCTGGGCAGCAGGTGGTGGTGGTGGTGGTAATTGTCTCGGTGGAGCTGGGGTGTAGGTGGTTCCCCCAAAGGTTTTAAAAGTGGCCTTTGGAGCTGCAGGTTTTTGCTGCCTGCGTGCATCCAGGTACTCATCTGCCTTCCTGGCAGCTTCGGTGAGAAATGTAGGGTTTCTGTCCCTTACCCACTCCTGGACATCGCTGGTTACTCCCTCATAGAATTGCTCCATCAGCATCATCTGGATTACATCCTCCATGGACCGTGCCTTGCTCGCTTGCACCCACCCGAGTGCTGCCCTTTGTAATCTGCATGCCCACTCTGCGTGTGAGTCTTTCTCCACCTTCTTTAAATCGCTGAATCTCCGCCGGTATGCTTTGGGTGTTATAGCATACCTGGCCAGTATAATTTCTTTAACTTTGCTGTAGTTTCGGATTTCCTCATTGGGTACAATACGGTATGCCTCTGCTGCCCTCCCAGTTAACCTTCCTGCCAAAATAGGTACCCAATCCTCTGCGCTGATTCTATGCAGGGCACACAGTCTCTCAAAATCCTGCAGGAAAGCGTCTATATCTTCCTCTGCCTCCACATACGTTTTAAAAGCCTGGTATGGTATCTTAGGCTTACCTTCTTGTGGCACATTTATTGCAGAGCTGCGTTCTGGGGCTGCTGTTGTCCGTTTCCTTAGGATGAATTCCTGGACCTCTGTCATAGTCTTTGAAATAATCTCTGCTGGAGGGTGTTCCCCATAAAAAGACAGCCTAAATTGTAGCTGCCTCTGGAACTCCATCTGTTCTTGTGTTTCTCCCGGATTTTCATTTGTAAAATTATGTTAACCGAGGCGTTTGTAAACCGAGGTCCCACTGTACACATAAAAATGACAAATGAGGGCACAAAAGACAGTTCACTGGGAATAAGACAGGTTTTGCTTGATTCCAAGGAAAACATGACAAGAAAATGTTTGTATGCCCTCTGGGAAGTTCTGCATTAGGGCTAGGACCGGACTGATTTCCCAGTGGGCCGTGTTACTTGAGGCCGCACAATGCAGCAGCTAGAGTTGCCACTTTTTTTTGAAAAAAAATACCAGCCATTCTAACTTGAATAATTAATTATATGTGCGTGACATCACAGGGCATGACGTACATAAAAGAATGAGAACATTTGGAAGTAGAAAATTCTCAAGTTTACAAATAAACTACTTACAATGTTTGTAATTTGTCTAACTGTGTTTATAGCATTTTAAATGTGAGGCCGTGTGTGTATGTAATGTCTGTATGAGTGTGTGTGTAGTAGTAGTGTGTCGTTGTCTTAATGTGTATAACAGTGTGACCACACTGTTGTCTGAACGTGTCATTGTCTGTATATTTTGAGTGTGTGTCTTCAATGTCTGTATATGCTTTTGTGTGTGTATATAATATATGGCAATGTGTGTACATACAATTTATAACAAAGATGGATATTCTAGAGACTGCAGTATACATAAATACTTCTGAATAAATATACATACACACAGACTGCTGACTACACGCAGAGACTGGTACATACACACAGAGACTGCTGTACACACACACAGACTGATGAATACACATACATACAGACTGCTGAATACACATACACAGATTGACTGCTGAATACATACACAAAGATGGATTAGTACACACAGACTGCTGAACACACATATACACACAGACTGCTAAACAAACACACACAGACAGGCAGCTGAATACATGCAGAGAATGCCGCACACACACACACACACACACACACATAGACTGCTGAATAAACACACACACTGTTGAATACACACACACATACACAGACTGCTAAATACACACACACAGACTGCTGAATACACACACACACACAGACTGCTGAATACACACACACACAGACAGGCAGCTGAATACATACAGAGAATGCCGCACACACACACACACACACACACACACACATAGACTGCTGAATAAGCACACACACTGTTGAATACACACACACACATACACAGACTGCTAAATACACACACACACAGACTGCTGAATACACACAGACATACCCACAGACTGCTGAGTACACACATAGACTGCTGAATACACACACAGACTGTTCTGTACACACCCACAGACTGCTGAGTACACCCACAGACTGCTGAGTACACACACACACACACACACACACACAGATTGCTGAGTACACACAGATTGTTGAGCACACACATAGCTGAGCACACACACACACTGCTGAGTTCACACACACATACACACACAAACTACTAAATACATACAGAGAATGCTGCACACAGACAGACTGCTGAATACACACACACTGCTGAATACACACACAGAGACTGTTGAATACACACACAGATTGCTGAGTACACACACACACAGATTGCCGAGTACACACCCACAAACTGCTAAGTACACACCCACAGACTGCTGAGTACACATACACAGACTGCTGAGTACACACACTGACTGCTGAGTACACACAAACAGACTGCGGAGTACACACATACTGCTGAATACAAACACACACAAACTGCTAAATACATACAGAGAATGCTGCACACACACAGGCTGCTGAACACACACACACGGCTGAATACACACACAAAGACGGCTGAATACACACACAGCAATTGCTGAGTACACACACTGACTGCTGAGTACACACAAACAGACTGTGGAGTACACACATACTGCTGAATACAGACATACACACACTGATTGCTGAATACAGACATACACACACTGCTGAGAACACACACACAGACTGCTAAGTACACACACACAGACTGCTTAGTACACACACAAAGACTGCTGAGTACAGACATACACAGACTGCTGAATACAGACACACACTGATTGCTGAGTACAGACACACACAGACTGCTGAATACACACACACTGATTGCTGAGTAGATACACACACAGACTGCTGGGAACACACACACAGATTGCTAAGCGCACACACGCACACACACTGCTGAGCACACACACAGAGGTTGCTGAGTACACACACACAAACTTCTGCATATTCACACACAAGTACCTGGTCTCAAGACACAGCTCCTACTGCCATGCTTCCATCTCTTTGACCTGCAGCTCCTGCTCCTTCCACTCATCCCATGCGGACTCTATCAGTGGAGAGGGCAGGGACAAGCTGTTTCCAGTACCCGGCCGGACTGACAGGAAGTGCACACTGAGTGTGCGCTTTCCTATCAGTCCGGCCGGGCACCGCGGACTGGAGAGGAGCTCGGCCAAGCTACAAGGGAGTGGGGATTAAGAAGAGTGGGGGGGGATTAAGAAGAGTGGGGGAGGGAATAAAGAGGAGTGGGGATTAAGAAGAGTGGAGGGAGTAAGAGGAGGAGTGGGGGAGTAAAAGAAGAGTGGGGAGTAAGAAGAAGATTGGGGGAGTAAGTGGGGAAAGTAAGTGAGGTAGGAGGAGTAAGAAGAGGGGAGTAAGAAGGGGGGGAGAAAAGTGGGAGGGATTAAAGAGTGGGAGGAGTAAGAGAAGAGTGGGGGAGTAAGAAGAGTGGGGGAGTAAGAAGAGTGGGAGGGAGTAAGAAGTGGGAGAGTAAGAAGAGTGAGGGGGGAGTAAGGCGGGTGGAGGGAGTAAGAAGGGTGGGAGTGGGAGGGTGGAGGGAGTAAAAAAAGGGGATAAGAAGGGGAGTAAGAAGAAGAGTGAGAGGGGGAGTAAAAAGGGTAAGAAGTAGGAGAGTAAGAAGGGGGAGGGGGATGAGGAGAACACAGGGAGAGGGGGGGTGAGTGTGAGTAGAGACCGCTAGGGGAGGGTGGGGGAGAGGAGAGACCACTAAGGGGCAGGGGAGAGCTCTAAGGTACAGAAAGGACAGCTCTAAAGGACAGGGGGCGCACACACACACAATGCATCCCTATACATAAACAGAAACACAACATGCTTCCCTTACACACAGAGAAACACACAATGCATCCATTACACACACACACACAATGCAACCCTTACACACAAAGACATTGCATCCTTTGCACACATACACAGAAACACACAATGCAAACCCTTACACACACATGCAGACACACACTGCTTTTCTTACATACACACATAAACATAATGCATCTCTTACACTCAATGCACACACATACAGACACACACCTTGCATCCCTTATGCACACAGACACACACCTTACATCCCTTATGCATACAAACACACACCTTGCATCCCTTATGCATACAAACACAGATTCATACAATGCATCCCTTACACACAACCAGAAACACATAATATATCCCTTATACACAAATACACACTGCATCACCTACACAAACTGGTATCCCTATACACTACATACCATAAGCACACATATTAGATCCTCTACAATAACACATCCCCTACACACTCCACTCCCTGTGAGCGAACTCATGGGTGGGTGGAACATATAAGTGGACTTATGAGTGGGCCTTATGGGCATACTCACCGTCAGGCCCTGGGGCCCAGACCTTAAGCTGTGTAAGGGGCCCCCCAAAAATGGAGCTGCTGACAATTCTCCCAGAACATTGAATTTTGTGACCACAGTTGCAAACAGCCTCCAGATATCCTGTTCTACACCAGACCAGTGGAGCCAAACTGCAGCCCATCATCATCCTCATCTGGTTGTAAGTAGGCAATCTAGTATATTATTAGTGACACTAATCTATAATTTACCTCACATTAAAGGGACACTATAGTCCCCAGAACCACTTCAGCTTACTGAAGTGGTTCTGGTGTCTATAGTCGGTCCCTGCAGGCTTTTTAATGTAAACACACACTGTGTGCAGCACTGGCGTTAGTTCATATGGCAGATCATATGGATGGGGCATTGTGATGTCACATGGGGGTGGGGGGCGGCAAACTTTTCTTTTATCTAGGGCGGAAAGAATCCTTGCACCGGCTCTGATCCTGGGCAGGTGCACCAGTCTACTGGTGACCCACAGGAGGGGAGTGCACTGATTGCACTGCACTCTCCTCCTGCCCCGACCCGTCTTTACCGCAGTGCAAGTGCCCTCTGCCCCTAATTTACAGTAGCTCACACTCACAGCAAGCAATGCCTGGAGCCCTTTGCAGAGACAGGAACAAAGAGGTTCTGCGGCAGCTGGCCGTCCTGCAAGCATTACATTAACCAGCTGTTCCCCATGCAGCCACAGGTGGCGCTGTGCTGGGAGATTGTGATTACTCTTCACTTCCTCCCAGCCTACAGAGCAGCACATGGGAGAGAGAGAGGAGGAGGCATGATTTAATCTTACAATAAATCCACTAAGCAAATCTTTATATATTTTGGGGGGGATCAGCTCTGTTTCCACAGTTTATTGGTGTTTACTCTGATGTCTGTATTAATATTGAGGGATGTCTAAGTAGTAACGTCAGTGTGCGTCAGCAGGGCCAGCTGTTGGGGTGTGCAAGCTGTGCGGTCACGCAGGGTGCCATGACAACAGAGGCGCCCGGCAGCCAACACAGCTCACAAGTTGGGGACACCAGCATATTCAATTTAAACGATTCGCTGGTGGTCCACTGGTGCGCACCAGCAGTAGGTGCAGTCAGATTATATCCTCTCCCTCGTGGTTCCGGTGCTCAGTTAGTGAGTCAGAGCACAGGCTCAGAGATTCTCAGTCTGCGCTCTGACAACATTGAAAGTCAGAGCCACGAAGGAGCGGGTATGGCAAAGAGCTACTGATTAGCATAACATCAATATCCGTTATAAAACCAGGAAAAGGTGGGCATGGATGGTAAACTGATTTGGTGGTGCAATGGGCCACTTGACTGGTTTTGTCCCCCAGGCCTAAGGCTGCCAGCCCTCCCCTGCGTATAGGGAACATTAACGTAGGTGCTGCATAGTGTGAAGCAATGACCCAGGAAGCAACGCTAGAGGTGATAGTGTTTACATTTAAAAGCGGTCAGGGACAGGATATAGACTTCAGAACAACTACATTAAGCTGTAGTGGTTCTGGTGACAATAGTTTCCATTTAAGAATTGTATACTTGACGTTGATTTCTCTGGCTCCTAACTTTTCTAGCTGGATGCTAAATTCCAAGCAAATTTGTCAAGCCGTGTGTGTGTGTGTATATATATACATATATACACACACACACACACAAATGTAATCTTATAAATTATGTTTATAATATATATACAAACAGTGTGATACACATATGTTAATAGACATGTGCATACATAATACACATTTGTAAATTACACACACGTATATAAATGTAACAAGGGTTATTCACTAAATTTGTAATTTTAGGAAGTGAAAATCTAAATTGCGTAATTAAGACCAAAACAGCAGATTTGAAAAATCCAACCTTAGTTATAGTAACAACTTGACTATTGTAGCCTATTTTTTTTAAATGTATTCACAAAAAATATTTGTTCAGTGGATAACCCTGCCCTTCTCTCATTCTTTCATTCCCTGGTATCAAACTATATAAAACTATAAACTCTTTTCTTTGCAAGTCATTTCCTGTTTTAGAGGATGTTAGTGGGCAGATGGGAGTTGATCCATTATTATTATTATTGCGATGTATACAGTGCCAACAGATTCCGTAGCGCATTGGGGGGGGTGGGAGGATTTGACTATAAATAGGACAATTACAAGAAAACTTACAATAGTGAAGTGTTGAAGAGGGCCCTGCTCAAACGAGCTTACAGTCTATACCACTTCCTATCCAGCCTCACACACAGACATTGGAGGAGCTGGGACAGCACTAACTTTTTCACCCTCTATAACTGTTCCTGCAGGTCTGCTCTCAATTATAGGGGCCGACTGGACCACAGAGGTCAAGACTCCTGGTACTTGTCTCCCCACACCAGCCCACCTAAGCTCCAAATAGCTTTATAATGAGTGCTGTAAAAATGTTACCCTACAGGACAGGTGCTTGTAGGCGGGTGCCTATTCTGCCTAATGTGAAATCTTGGCCTTACTATGATAACCATCGAAAGGCTTTCTTAGACATTTAGCATCCATTGTGTACTGTAGTATTAATTTAGTATTGTAATCCTACAATACATGTTTGTATTGGTGTCAGGAATACAAACATGTATTCCTAACACTGTAGTGCTGGAATAAATGTTTAGGTGTCTTGCCCCCTTTTCCGTGGAGTTTGAGTTTACCTCAAGTTTTGAGTTTGAGTTTACTCAACTTTTCTCCCTTAACATGGCTGGCCCCACCTCTATGGCTGTGATCATCATTCTGTAATCTCTATTGGGAGCGTTCAGCATCTCCATGAAGAGCTTGGAGATGCTAAATGTATGTACTGCACACTGTGCAGCACTGACCCAGGAAGCACCTCTAATGCCATCTGAGATGTTACTAGGCAGTAATGTAAACATTGATTTTACTCTCAAAAGGCTGCATTTACATTGAAAAGCCTGCAGGGACAGGCTATTGACACTAGAACCACTACTTTCAGCTCTAGTGGTTCTGGTGACTATAGTATCCATTTAAACAAAGGGAAATTAAATGCTATCAGATGAGTCTTTCATGTCCTATATTATTGTGTCTGCTTTGGTCGAGGTGATTTATCCTATTTTGTGATTTATTTGTTTTTCTTTCTAGAAAGGCATGCTGTATTCCTCCAAGGTAAATATCTAGAACAAATGAAAACTCACGGTCATCGACCAGTCTGTGCATTGATATAATACATTCCAGATATTGTTCTAATAAGAAAAATATGTTTGCATTCTTCTGCTCATCTTACTAACACACTAATTTATGTAATGATTTTTTAAATAACAAATAAACAAAATAATGAATGCTTTCCAAGCACTCTTTCTCAACAGAAATCTAATTTATCAAATGCTCTCTGATATGCTCTCATCTTGAGTTAAGATACTTTGCTGCTAGTACTGCAAATAGTGAATACAGGCAGAGATAAGCGACTGAACGGAATGGCTAACAATTCTCAGAGCTCATGCAAACTGGCGCCTAACCCACGCTAATCTGCAGTCCCACAGAGACAACCTTGTGAGGAAATACTTCCCTAGCCACCCCTCAATTGCAGGCTCACTACCAATGCTGTTTCTGTTCCCATAATCGGTAGTGAGCCCGAAGCTGACGGAGATCTGGGGCCTACCTCAACTTCCACACCGCGTGGTCCGCATCGAGCTATCAGTGTGGACTGCTGACATAGCCCGCATGGCTCAGATGACATAATGGAGGACCTAGAGGAACCTCACACACCCCAACCTCCTATAGCCAAACTGGGGGGGAAAGGAAGGAGGACATTGCCTACCTGCGGCAGTAGATGAGGCAAATGCATGCCGCGGACATGGACCTACTGCGCACCAAAATGCAAGCAGTGACAGCTCACACACAAGTCTCAGAGGAGGACATCCTAGACATGAGACAGGAGGTAACAGGCTTAAAGGTAACGTTCCAACAGCTACTGACATCCCACTCTACCTTGACATCTAGAGTAGATCTGGCTGAAGAGCGTAACAGACGCACCAATCTTAAGCTAAGGGGCATCCCTGACTCCATCAACACAACCGAACTGCCCCACTACCTCCGCCTCCTCACTAACACGCTTCTCCCACACACTCAGGCGAAGAAAATTGCATTTGATAGATTCTTTCGAATCAAGAAGCCCAGGCAGGCACCAACCAAAGCCTCTCAGGATGTCATCATCCCTTGCCAATCCCTGACGGACAAAAATCGTATCCTGGCCGCAGTTTGAATCATCCCAAATCTCCTTCTATCAAAATCTGATACGTAACACCTTATTGTGGCGTCGGTCAATGGGCCCAGTGACACACCAGCTACATGAAGCTGGCATCGACTACAGATGGACAATTTCCAGTGCCCTAACAGTAAACAAAGAGGGCACTAACTTGAATCACCTATTTGACTCAGGCATCCTATTATGCCTTCGTACCCTACTCAACAAATGCACTGTCATGTCTTTTTTAGTTTCTCACTATTTTCCTTTTTAGTTTTTAAGTTGTTTCACGCATAAAAATCCCTGCCGCTCACTAGATGGACACAAAACCTACTCTCACACGGTTTCACAAACCACAGTGAGGGCTCTTAACAGCTGAGAGAGACACAAACTTTTTAACACACAGTCCCTCCCCTCTTTATGGTTAGGTGTCGAGTCCTTATGGTACTTCATCACACACAGGTCCCAGACACCCTCAACATGGTTCACGAACCGAAGCATGACACCGAACGCAAGCAAGCATCTTCTTTACACTCACTCGACTGGGTTGACACCTTCACCGACCACCTAAACGCATAGTATTACAGTCTGGAGGGACGACCCACAAATTCAATTGTTCTGAAGGCAGCTGTAGCCTGCCTAAAGCAGCTACAGGTTTGACCCTCCTTTACAAAGCTATGCTGGTCACATACCCAGAAGGTACATTCGAGGGACCTGTCCTACACTCTTAGCATATAATGTATGTACCTTACATGATCTCCCTCTTGGGAGGGGGCCCTTTTACATACTCGCCAGACAATTATATTGGGGCAGTTTAGCATCACCTCACCACAAACCTAAGTTAAACCTCACTGTTACAATTTTTCCTGATGCCCAGCATCAGGCCGCAAGGCTCCTTCTTGTTACACCTCACATTCTAACTCACCTTATATGCGTTCTAGGCAGTAACTAAATTGTGAGCAGAGAATTCATAGGTATAACCCTGCAAAGACCTACAATGCCCTACACTCACATTGCGCTTACACTTACTTCTGAAGGACCTTTTCCATGTAATCGTCTAGCCTACTTATTCTTGCATATTAACAGTTATCTATACGGCATTTACTAGTCTAGTGTGTTTAACCCTTAGAATTACTGGGATGAGTAAGAGACACACAAATGACCTGGGGAACAAAGAGATACAGAAAGAGCTTAGGGGGAGAAAGACAAACAAATGAGTTGGGAGCAATAAAGAGACACACAAAGGGGCTGAAAGGAGTAAGACACACAAAGGGGCTGGGGAATGTAAGAGACACACAAAGATGGAGGTTGTAAGAGACACACAAGAGTAGTGTAAGTTACACAAAGGGGAAAATTCAGGGATACAATACACTAAAGAGGGGGTAAGACACAAAAGGGAGTACAAAACACTAAAGGGGGCAAGACATTCAAAAAAGAGGTTAAACACCAAACGGGTGAGAAATGCAATAGGATAGGGAGTCAAAAATCCTTGCACCTGCCCTGGCAGTGCATAGTTCTTGTAGAGTGAACTAGTTCCCCGTGGGGAGCTAGCAAGTATGTGTAGGGACAACCTTAAAGGGGGTAACCCTAGCAAATATGTACAAACTAAAGAGCAAATGACCCCTATAGGACAAACCCCAAGGGTCACGAAGAAGGAAGTCCCTGTGTGATCTGTGGTGTATATACAATTGTATTAAAAAATAACTTTTATTAAAGAAATTAAAAACGTATTATGTGAATAGAGTCATCAGAAAAAATCCAATCAACTAAACCTTAATTGGATAGGTGACCGAATGACACACTAGAATCGTGCTGTCTGCTACAATAGTTGGGCATAACCAATCCAGATAACCGTAGGTCTTATAGAGGAGCCCAGGCAGCAAATTATACAGTCCCTAAGGACTTGTAGAATTTTATCAACTGATACTTGGAATGTAGATAATAAGTATCAAAATTGCTCTGTGCTTGTTTATGGCTTCTCACTAATAATCGTAGTCCCAGCATATGTCTGTATGCTTAAGGGGGCTATAGTATATAGATCCAATGACAGTACAGGAAATAAAGAGATATCTTGGTACCCCTGCTTAAACCAGATATAGTAGATCTCCTATAAAGCTGAGGCTGTTGCACACGTATACTTGATATGTTAATCTTTCCAAGCACTTAGACATATTTAGTGTGATTTCGGCATTTCGTTACTGCAGCAGCCCTTGAGGATGTAGGACAATGAGGATCTGTTAGGTGTTATAATTAACTATGGAGTACTCTTTAGACTCATTGTTTAGATTTTACAAGCAACTGTTAGCACCTGAGATAAGTTTCACTAAGCGATTGGTGTGGATACTTTGTATATAATCAATAGCAACAAGATGTGTTTGGCTTAGATTGCTAAATAACCATATGTTATACAGTGATACAAGTATGGTTTTAACTATGAGTTTTGATTGCGATCAAGCCCTATAGGAGATCTACTATATCTGGTTTAACCAGGGATACCAAGTGATCTCTCTTTTTCCTGTACTGTCATTGGATCTATATACTATAGCCCCCTTAAAGGACCACTATAGTGCCACTATAGTGCCCCTCCCGCCAGGCTCTGGGGAGAGGAAAGGGGTAAAAACGTACCTTTTTCCAGCGCAGGGCGGGGAGCTCTCCTCCTCCTCTCCGCCTCCGATCCTCTCCTTCGGCTGAATGCGCATGCGCGGCAAGAGCTGCGCGCGCATTCAGCCGGTCGCATAGGAAAGCATTTACAATGCTTTCCTATGGACGCTTGCGTGTTCTCACTGTGATTTTCACAGTGAGAATCACGCAAACGTCTCTAGCGGCTGTCAATGAGACAGCCGCTAGAGGAATTGGAGGAAGGATAAACCCATTTAAAAACATAGCAGTTTCTCTGAAACTGCTATGTTTATAAAAAAAATGGGTTAATCCTAGCTGGACCTGGCACCCAGACCACTTCATTAAGCTGAAGTGGTCTGGGTGCCTAGAGTGGTCCTTTAAGCATACAGACATATGCTGGGTGCTCTTTAGTATTTTGTTATTGCAGCAGCTAATTAAGAGTTAGGACTACGAGTATTAGTTAGACGTTATAGGCAAGCACAGAACAATTTTGATACTTATTATCTACATTCCAAGTATCAGTTGATATCATTCAACAAGTTCTTAGGGACTGTATAATTTGCTGCCTGGGCTCCCCCATAAGAGGTACAATTATCTGGATTGGTTATGCCCAACTATTGTAGCAGACAGCACGATTCGTGTCATTCGGGCACCTATCCAATTAAGGTTTAGTAAATTTATTTCATTTGGATTTTTTCTGAAGACTCTATCCACTTAATACGTTTTTAATTTATTTAAGTTATTTTTTAATACAATTGTACATACACCACAGATCCCACAGGGACTTCCTTCTTCGTGACCCTTGGGGTTTGTCCTATAGGGGTCATTTGCTCTTTTTTTAAAAAAATTCTTTATTTTTATTTGTGAAGATAATTACAGGTTAGCAACTGACGCCACAACGGCGTGTTCCAAGAATTTACAGAAATTTAGACTGTGGCATAGAAGTTTTTTTAAGATGGATAACAGGCTTAACTAAACGTTTATAGTGTGGTGTAATAGGGTGTATGTGGTGAATGCATGTCTAGTCTGGGTAATGCTATACCCCTAGCTGGTCTAGAATAGGCCTGAGGGCATAGGCGTGCGCACGGGGTGTGCCGGGTGTGCCTGGGCACACCCTAATCCCCGCGGCACGCCTATGTATATTGAGACCGGCAGGGGAGATCTCAGGATCTCCCCTGTCGGCTCATGCAGAGCCGGCGCTATCTGAGCGCCGGCTCTGCTCTCAACCTCCCTCCCCACTGACCCACATGCAGGGAGCGAGGCAGGAGAGGACCCGGCGGAGCTATTGCCGGCAGCTCCGCCGGGTTCCTCTTGCGAGATATGAGCGTTGCCACGGCAACGCTCAAATCTCGCGAGAGTGAACTCTAGCCCCACAGGGGGCTAGAGTTCACTCTCCACTGGACCACCAGGGATCACAGCAGCAAGGATCCCCTCCTCCACTGGACCACCAGGACCACGATCCCCCCTCCCTACAAAAGGTAAGAAGGGAGGGGGGATAGCAAATAATGTACCCCCACCTCCACCCCCCACAATCACCCACACACACACATACAACACACATTCAGCACCCACAGACATACAGCACCCACAGACATACAGCACCCACAGACATACACAGAACCCACAGACATCCAGCACCCACAGACATACACAGCACCCACAGACATACACAGCACCCACACACATACAGCACCCACAGACATTCAGCACCCACATACATTCAGCACCCACATACATTCAGCACCCACAGACATACAGCACCCACAAACATACACAGCATGCACCCATACACAGCACCCACACACATACAGCACCCACAGCACTCACAGACATACACAGAACCCACAGACATCCAGCACCCACAGACATCCAGCACCCACAGACATACAGCACCCACAGACATACACAGAACACGCAGACATCCAGCACCCACAGACATACACAGAACACGCAGACATCCAGCACCCACACACATACACAGCACCCACACACATACAGCACCCACAGACATACACAGCACCCACACACATTCAGCACCCACATACATTCAGCACCCACATACATTCAGCACCCACATACATTCAGCACCCACAGACATACAGCACCCACAGACATACACAGCACGCACCCATACACAGCACCCACACACATACACAGCACACACCCATACACAGCACCCACACACATACAGCACCCACAGACACACACAGCACTCACAGACATACACAGCACCCACAGACATACACAGCACCAACACACATACAGCACCCACACACACATACAGCACCCTCACAAACACACACAGCACCCTCACACACACACACAGCACACAAACAGCTCCCTCACACACACACAGCACACTAACAGTACCCTCACAAACACAAACAGGACCCTAACAAACACACACACAGCACACGACCAGTACCCTCACACACAAACAGCACCCTCACACACAGTACATTAACGGCACCCTCACAAGCGCACACACACACACACACACACACACAAACAGCACCCTCACACACAGTACATTAACAGCATCCTCACAAGCACGCACGCACACACAAACACCCTCACCCACATAGCACACTACCAGCATCGTCACACACACATCACACTAACACCACCCTCACACACACACAGCATGTGTGTTGTGTATATATATATGCGGCGTGTGCTTGTGCTTTAGGGTGCACACCCTAATGCAATAGGCTGCGCACGCCTATGCCTGAGGGTGGCATATTATGTGTCCCGAGGGTTATACTGAGCCTTGTATTAGTGAGGTGCGACTGACATGAGAATTATTAACTAACACCTTAACTAGCTTGCTAATGTGTTTGAGTCTGATATTATTAGCATTCAGATGATTTAAACCATGCATGAGACGCCCCTATGATCCCCTGTGTGAGCCAACATAACAGAAAATAATGAGGAGAAATTAAAAGTCATCAG